GAAACGTGACAGGAGCGTCAAGTGAGGCACTCGACAATGAATCGGGCTTAGGTGAAAACGAACGATCGAAAGGTGCTAAGAAATAGAGCCTCGCTTGCTGCAGGTTCCCTCAATATGCAGGAGAATGTCAATAGCACTTGGCGTTTCACGAAGCTCCCCGGGCTAACAGCAATCCTCTTCTCAAAGCGCGCGTGCCTGGCGCGACCCCTGGGGGCTGGCGCTTACCCTGCTGAAGCGCTGTCGCTTGAGATATTACAACGAATCAACGCAGGAGCAAACGTCTGCAGTTTGAACACTTTCAAAGAAGCGATGCGAGCTCGGAACTGGCTTTCACAGTTGCCAGGACGCACCAGATTGTTTTCCGGCGCTCCGTCCTCCAACTCGAGCACCCGTGCCGAGTCGAGCACTCCGGCCCCGGCCAGCTCCGGGGATACCGGGCCGAGCGTGGGTGCAGGCGCAGGGGGGTTCTCGGACAGCTGTTCGGACCCCCCGGAAGCGTTGCGGAGCCACTTTTCCAGCTTTATGGTCACGTGAAAGAAGAGGACGAGACAGCCCACACTTGCGGGGAGCAGAAGTGGGCTCATGATGCCGATCAAAAGCCACGTGTCACCCCAGGACATATTTGCGCGCGCGCACGGAGGCTGCTAATCTGCATGCTGGAAATAGGGCTTGGGCATAGTTCTAAGGTGGGAAGTATTTCGAAAGCTGCTCGTTGGTAACAACTCTTCTGATTTACGACGTCCGCGCTTACCAGCTTTTTGGGCTTCTTTGTTCTCATGCAGCACGTTCTGTAGTGTGTCGACAAAAATCAAGAAATAGTAATTTATCCAACGCAATTCTTGACTAGAGGATGTTAGATTAAGAATTACAATTTCAATCGGAATTGCTCTGTATTGTAGGTTCTTCATGTGGACGTCCGATTGGGTTTAGGTTTTCACGCGGAAAGCTCAACTCCTTTCTCATGTCGCTCCCCCGACAAACGTATCTTTTGATGTTTCCATTCGAAAGCAAGACAGATCAAAGATACGTACAGGCCTCGGAGGAGGGGACAAAGTAAAAGGTAAGAAGCCTTACCAGTCTTTCTGGTGAGGACAGGATTATATTGTCTTTATATGGCGAAAAGGAGACCTTGTCGACCCACCAAGGAAAAGGGAGATGGAGCTTTATGTTCAATACAAGCCCGCTTCTTGGCACCCATCCAGCTTCTGCCAAACCTTCAAGCATCTGATGAAGCGCTTTCTTATGTTCAACAACTGAAGCCCATCCAAATTGACCCGTTCCAGGAGCCAATCGAATGAAGAGTCTGTTCCTTCTCTAGAGCTCGATGGTGGTGACAATGGAGGTGTCCTTTGCCCTGATAAGAAGGTGAGATTCATCCTAACCGAAACCTGTGCCAGACTGGAACATCGCCAAACAGCTGGATTGTATTAGTGTCCTGTACATATACACTGTCCAAGCTCGTATTTCGAAACGCAGAGCGGATCATCGAATTTAACGAAGCCTGATCTTCCTCGCATGAGAACCTTGGTGGAGTCACCTAAGTGGCACGGAAAGTCCGACAAAAAGTCCAAAAAGCAGCCCAACTCTAGTACAGAACTGTATTGTCCCGTAATTACAGTTAGGTTTGGCTTATGCTTGTGTAACGGAAACGTGACACGTGGCAAAACCGTGATGATTGCTGATGGCCTCGGATATGTCGACTGCGAGCACACTGTAGGGGTTGACTAGGCCTAACGCTACCACATCTCATACCTAGGTGCCGATCTACAAGGACGTACGGATATCAACACCTGTCAAAGCTTCTGTACTAAAGCCTAAAGAATCGCTCTTGTACAAGGTAGACGAATCTATCGTGGGCACATTCGTTTCCTAATGACATTGAGAAAAGCAGGAGACTACCTTGTCGTATTAGAGGACCGCGTCTGAATAATAAGAAACAGGCAAAGGTCAAAGACACATGATATATTCCTGAACGCACATGTACACGAGATTTGCTAGGACTTGCTTGCGGTGTGTTCCGCTATGATGATGAAAATGATACGGATCTGTTTGCACGTCCTAGATTCACCGTCAATAAACTCTCATGACCAAGTAAAAGCGTCCACAGGCCACTGATTTGCACCAGTTATGGAGAACGTTACGGTGGGCAGGCTGCTGGAAAGAGTTGTCTCGTCACCACATTCGAAATTGGTATTCCCCTTTTGGGAGGCCCAAACCACGAAGATAATTTTACTGATCCAAGGATCCAAGCGGATTCTGGTCCGTGTGTAGCTATCGACGAGAAGCAGATCACTAGACCGGTTGATGGAGTTGATGGGCTGTCCTCGCAACGGATATGACGCTCAGTTGCAAGCCTCGCCCTGACAACCCAGCACGGATACTTGTCAGAACCAATGCAGAGCGGGGTGGGGCAGACGCAAAAAGGTCGCCCTGATATTACTATGAGCAGTATCTTATTTTACACAAGCCGGCCTGTGGAACAAGTACTACAGACGCTTCGACTAGCAAGTCTGCTCAGGTCCTTCATGTCCAGGTGAAACCCATCCGTTGTTTCGTTAGGGACTCAAAGATGCTCCCATTAAAAAAGCGCTGTCTACATTCGGCAGCCTTATGAATGCTTACGAACCTTTCGATCGCGGCGTTTGATCGTAGCTAGCAGGGCAGTCTCAGACGTGGAACTCGACGCGAGTTGTTTCTCCGTTCAATGGCTTTCTTGCTCGCCCCCCGGGAACGCGTCCGCACGGCAGTCCGGACACGTGGCGGCCCCCAGAAGGAGCCACGCGTCGATGCATGCTTTGCAGAAAATGTGATTGCACGGCAGAGATCGGACCTGAAAGAAGGAGATGAGGGAGGATTCAATGATGCAAAATGAGCCATTTCGTAACGTCCATGTATTAAAAGACGACAGTTTTTTACTTTCATCAAGTTCTGCAGTATCAAGCGTGGTTTGAATCGTTAGACCCAGCCGAGCGCGGCCATTTGAAAGCAGGAGGTCCGTGGAAGAAAACCAGAGTGGATCACCGACAAAAGGCCTCTTCTTTTCATATTCGCCCAGGTCCTCGTGTCTATGAACCTTTTGCAATAAGATCCTGTCAATTGATCACGAATGCAGATTCTCAAAGTTTTGCTGTCAAATCGAAGACCTTCCTTTCACCGATGCGCACACGAGCCAAACCCCAAACTTCCAGCCCAACTAGTTATACGTCCCACCTTCAGGCCAATGGTCTGCGGCTCCAGACACACCGCGCAGGCGTTCTGCTCCGAATCGACGCTCTCGATCTGCCACGTCGGCAGGGCGTCGATCCGTTTCCGCTGCTGGGAATTGTCTTCCGCCTTCGCCTGCCGTAACAAGCGGAGCGCCCGCAGTACGCTTTGGCCCCTCTGAGAAAAACGGCAAAAATTTCGACCTTTTACCTTGAGAAGAGTCAATGGAACCAAATCTACACCTCGAAATTCGAAAATTTAGAAGAAATGGGACCGACCCTTTCGTAAAGCCCTTCTGCGAGAGAAAGAGTCTGTTGAGAGGTTATTTGACGGAAAGCTGATTTGAAGTTGGATCAATCTGCAGAAAGTGCCACAGGAAAAATAGAACGCCCACCCTTCTTGCTTTCAATCGCGGTCCTGACTACCGCAGAACTGAAATTATATTCTGTTTGGATAAGTTGGGACTAAGAAGCACGATCATTCAGAAGAGCAGAGGGGAGGGGCACGGCCAAGTAAGGAGCTGCATTGTTAACGAGCTGCTTGGCTCGATAACGGGCGAACACGGTGGTATAAGGGGAAAAACAGGAAATTTGCCCAGCACAGTGAAGCTTGACGCAGCTTTCCTAATTAGGTAATATGTCATTGCTTTCTTACCCATCTTCTAGATGTTATGAAGCCTCAAAATTGTGCCTTCAAAAAGAAGGTTGAGAGGAAGGACGCGTCCACCGAATTTTTGAACAGCGTCCACCGACTTATCGAACAGTTTTTACGCCACAAAATCTACCAACCAGGACGGGACCGAGCATTACCAGCCCACCAGATTATTTTGCGAAGCCCCGTCCTCCGATCCCGGCGCCACGCTACCACCGCCGGATCCAGACAGTCCCAGCTCCTGGGAATCCGGATTTGGCGTGGACACAGGAGCAGGGGGGGCCCCAGGCGGCTGGCTGGACCCCCCTGAAGCTCTGAAGAGCCATTTTCCGAGTGCAATGCTCATGTAGAAAAGCATAGCAAAGCACCCGAAGGTCGCGGGAAACGCGAGCGCGCTCAGAACACCGATGAAGAGCCACGATTGCATCCCCGCGGTTTTGCGTGCGCACGTGCGCCGCGGCCGACCAACCTGCCTGCAGTGGTCGTATCAGAAGAGGAGTCAGGATGCAGCGATCAAAGATGAAAAGCGAGTTCTGTGAGAGCGCAAAGAAGATGGTGAGCCGTGCTGCCTAGACGAACCTCTACCTTACGCCCTGAAGCTGATTCAAGTTCATCTGAAAGCTCAGGTCACGACATACAGTTTCTCAGATTAGATCCGGTGAGGATTGATCAGAAAGTGGCCGTCTTCTCAGCTGGATCCTCTCTCCATGGATTCTTCCCCGCATCTATACTCACCTTCATTCATTGGATCGGATGAACTGCCACGGTTTCGCAGAAATACGACAAGCGGCCGCGACCCCGTTGCAAAGAATGTACAATAAGAGCCTTTCCGCCGTCACGCAGAAAGCCGCTGATGTCTGCGTCGGTCCTTGCCAGCAGGCGACTCACTGCCACTCAGCATGACCTAGAAAAGTGAGGAGCTCGGCCCGGAAGCGAAGCCTCCCATGTGACTTAAGACCATCATAGACTATCAGGGGGAACTTCTGCGTATACTACTAAAGAGTATTTTGAGAGGATCCATGCAGCACAGAATCCCATGAACGGCAGATCATGCATATATATGCTCTAACAAGTAACATAAGAAGCCCCTGCCTTCGTCGACCAAATCACAGCTCCATATTACTACGCTGTATCTTTCACGTACTTCGAGCCTCGATATTTCCGACAGCCAGACATAGTCAAGACAAAGGGCAGTTTTACAGCGCTTCAAAGTAAATCCGCGCACAATCCGTCCAGTCCCAAGAGTGTTTGATGAAAGCATTATCTGTAGCACACCTGTAATTCAGTACCAAAGCTGGATTTTTATGCTGGATCAATTTGTCGATGAATCGCTTAAACGGCTCTTATTCATGAAACTCATGTACGACAAGCAGAAGTGCAAGGTCTCCAGTCCCGTGGTTTGCTTATAAGATACAGACAACACTCGTAAATACTTGAACTGTAAATATCAGTCGGATCAATCGAGCTCGATTGAAGAGATATCTTGCGAGCCGATAGCGCTGAAGTTGGGCCCTTGACAGAAGCGGAACGTTGAGCAGACCGCGAGGATGCGAACAAGAAGACAGCACGACCTAGCTTTCCGTTGAGGGCTTCCCGGGCACTTCAAGTTCTTTTGGGCGTTTCTGATACACTTACAACCTCGTCGTTCTCAACTGGTGGCCACTTAGTTTACATATTTTCCATGGCGTTCCTCGGTCCACGTAGGTAAACAACTTTTTCAAACAAGACGTGCGTGTACACGTCAGCAACCCAGCCGTGCGTAGAGCCGTGCTATTTCCATGTTGCGGTACGTGAATGGTAGCGCGGGCCGAGAGTGAGTATGCATGTGAAAGTGCAAGGCTTATTTTGACAACCACTTTGATACGCTTGCAATCAGCCAGCCTATTTGACCTGCTTGACAAGCCACTCCATCCCCGCTTGAAGACCGTCCCCGGTTTTGGCTGCAGATTCACAAGAAGCAAGTCAGACGAATTACTTGCTCTTTGTCCAAAATATACGCGAGCCAAATATATGTACTTCGAACGTTATCCAGTCGACGGCAGCGTCTCAAGATGCTGAGCATGGAAGAGTTATGAGGACCCGTCTCGATCAAAGTAAGCAATCCAGTACCTTGACAAAGCGGCATCTTTTTTACACGCCAGAATCTGTACTTCTTCTTGGAATTTCGCAAGAAGGACTTGGCAAGCTCGTCTTTTCAGCGGAGGAAACAGAGACCGCCGTACCTGAACACGGCTGTATTTGCCATGGTCGATCTCGGATGGAGAAAAGGTTGAGTCCGTTGGCTACCTGCAAGTAAAGCAAGTACAGACGGATTGTGAGTACCCGGTCTGGTTGCCCGATTCTCTCCTTCCATAGCCGCCTTCCAAGTCAGGACCTGTCATTTGCAAACCACCAGCACTTCGACCAAGTTTTCGACCGGTGTGCTTCAAATTTCAATCACATGTTCCCTCTCGCGAATAGGAGGCTCTGTGAAAGGTAGTCTCCAGCTCACTGGATGCATCATCGTTCTCCAGACGTTCGACGAGCTAGACCAACTGAAAGGCTGCAGGCGCTAAGAGCTTTCGCTTCGGATCTGTTGTGCGTAACCCATTTGGGAAGGCCAAAGGGCGCGCGTCTCATATCACTAACCAGAAGCGGCCGTGCACAGATGTTGCTACAAAACAGGGCCAGGTTGCGATCCGCTTTTCATGATCTGCTTCTTTCATTGATCGCGGCAGCCTTGTGGGGCACCCTGAGATGGAACATCATACCCTTGCAAATGCAACAGGTTACCAGGCAAAAGATGACCTAAAAAGCCGACTCTTGCAAGTTGTGCAGATGACCCAATCGATCAGAAACGTGGCCTCACTTCGTCTGCCGGCAGAGCGCTGTTCAGGTCCTGCTTGTTCGCCAGAACTAGCAACGGGACGTTTGTCATCTTCTCCTCTTCCAGTAACCGGCTCAGCTCGTCGCCTGGACAACACGGTAGAGGAAGGTTTCACTTCCGTTCACTTAATGGCGTACCGCAGTGCCCCAATGAAGACAAGGCCGACACTGGTGGGGATGAGAGACGGGGCTGAAGTCTCGTGAAGCAATCTCCCCAAATTTTAGCAGCTCTTTCCTGTCAGCTACGCTACACTTCTATTCAGCATGCTCAGTCCCGATTGTCCGAGATACAGCTGCAATAGATCGATGCTCAAGGAGTTCCTTCGAGAGTTATCGTTCCAACCAGTAAAGTTCTCTAGTATCGGCTATCTGCCAGCCAATTGCAGGAGGAGAGAGACATGTAATGTATCTAATTATGGAAGTGGGCAACTACAGGCTTACCCGTTTCCTCAAGCCGCCGCTTGTCCGAGCTATCAATGACATACAGGAGTGCATCCGTCTGCTCGAAGTAGTTCTTCCAATAGCTTCTGATTGCTTTCTGGCCTGCACAGAAGGCGGTTTGCACGGTGGGAACGGATGACGCACGCTAGAAGCGTCCCATACTATTGGGGGACGGCTTTGCGTCCTCGCTAAATGTTGGCACTCTGAGCATTCCAAGGAATCATGCTGCCTCTGGCTATGTAAAACCGAAACCACTTTTTGCAGAAGTGTCGTTGTGAGACAGCAACTCTTCTCGTATGCTCACCTCCTATGTCCCAGACGTTTAGCTTGAAGCCGTCATGCATCAGCGACTTTATATTGAAGCCCTGGGTGGGGGTGATGGTGGTAATGTCTTCATCTGACAGCTTTCGCAAGATGGTGGTCTTGCCAGCATTGTCAAGCCCCAACACCAGGATGCGGGCCTGTGCGCATGAAAAGAGTGCCTCGGAATATGTATCGCATCCAACCAAAGCAGCTCAAATTGGGCATGTTGACGCGTGCAGCTGACAACGCCTACCCGGAATGTCACAAGCTGGTGTCAGCAATTTGTTACATGCAACTCATATTTTGAACCCGCCAGCCACAACCTAAAAAGCTGTGCTGTTTGACCGTTTTGCAAGCAGGTAAAATACCAGTCAGCGAACGGATCCTGGCTAGTCCAGAGCCAGAAATGAAAGTTCTTAATGTTAGGCACGGTCAGTGCACCTCACGACTGCTATTGATGGGTTTTTTTGTTTTGGTGCAGCTAGCAAGCTTTGCAACATTGTCAACAGAAACAATTCAGGCCTTGTACGCAACTGCTCTGAGCTGACGTCTTTGCTGCCACGCCGGGCGCTGTAGCAAGACTAAAAGCATAGCAGCTGGCCACGCCTTGGTTAGAGCTACGCATATTAGTGAAGCGACTTTGATTGGACTTTTCTGTGAGCTCACCTCTCCTTTTGTCTTTTTAAGCTTCCGAAGCAAAGACAGGAGCCCCTGCAAAGGTAAGCAAAGCATCAGTGCGAGTGACTGACTTGAACTCTCTTGGCCAGATGAACACCTTTTGAAACCCTGATCAATCTGCATTCAATCCGCTGAATGTCCTTGACGTTCTTCTGCACTCAGTGCTTTCAGAGCGACAAATTTATGCCACGAAAAAACTTACCATCTTTGACCAGCTCTCCTTACTATCAGGGGACTCGATTCACAGTGTTCCTGAAACGGTGTAGAAGAACCGCACTTGCTCAGACCAGTATTTAAACGACGACGTCTTTGCAACAGCTCGATCTATCAATGATGGAACCTGCGTCCAACAACGCGCCCTCCTTTGAAGCTGTTGGTTGAGCCTCTTCTTGTTTTGATAGGTGAGGTTTTAGCGGGGATTTTAGAGCTCAGAGAAAGTCTTGAAGCGATAGTGAATATCTATTGCTGGCCTGAGACTGTTTTCGACGATGTGGAGCTCGAACCTGAGTAGAAAAGCTACCAGGTACGACCTGCTGAGCAGAAAGCTGAAGAATTCTCCTGGTTTTTAAAGCGAGATCCTTTCCGCTGCGTTGAGGAAAATTACCTATAGCCACCTAGAGCGATATTTGAGATGCTTCTTGATATCAGCGCTTGGTGGATATGTGATATTCGTGCAGTGTTCCAACCTAGAGTCTCCCTTGGCCAAGCAGATTCAAGTTCACGCAGGAAGTCGGAGCAAAACGGAGCTGAAGAACGGTCCAACTTTCGAATTATGTAGCCTGGAAGCTACCTAGACTAGAGCACGGACTAGAGATCATTTGTCTCCCGGCTCGCGACCGAAAGATTCCAGGTTGATCCGTAACAACCGGCAGTCTCGCTGAAGCTACGCGCGCAATATAAATCTGACGGCCCACCTTTCATCTTGCATTTGAATGACGGCTTTGAAGGCCCTTCGTTTGGACAGGATTCAAACATTGAATTTGAATTGAACTTCGAACTTTGAACTTCGGAAGATTCCTTCTCAGTCTGCTGCTTTTCTTGCCTTTCACGTTTCAGAAGCTGAGCAACTTGAGGAGCTGGGGACCTGCTCTGGTGTCAGACTGCAGATAGGTTCCAGAGATAGGTATGCGCTTGATTTCTGGCCCAGTATGCCCTCCTGAACCCCAAACTTGTTGCAGCTTCTGCATCACTGGGAATAGGAGCATTTTACGTGGCGGCGGTTTTGGAGCAAGCCAGATATATTATTGAGAAGGTTCTCCTTGAATGCTGCAAGCATCCCTTGGGAGCCTGGAAAGGTTCGTTTACACATTGAAAAGTATTTTAGATTGAGGGTTGTATTGGCAGCTTGCATTGACGCAGCCAGTCCTTCATGACAAATTCGCAATGAACTCTGGGAGCTCGTTCAGCAGCTCTAAAGTCCTGCAGGTATGGCTTCAGCGCATACAGCCGCTTGTCAAGCAGCAGATGAGCACTCTTGGCACATGGCATCAACTTATGGACCATGTTTACAGCACAGGGCCTCTTAGAATGGGCCTCTCCCCCCGCTTCTTCAAACTTGGATGGGGGGGCCAGTCCTTGGAGATTCTGCGGGAGTTCATTGAGAAGAACCTGGACATGCTGCAGAGCAAGGAGAACACTTTGCCGTGGCCTCCGGCTATCGTTCAGGTCAGTGTACGGGATGCTCACGCTGCGATGGTCGCAGAAACTTATCTGCCTGAGAAGAAGAAACAGCTCTTACTTGCTCATTGCAAGCATGAGCTTTCAACTGCATTGGCAGGACCTGCTTTGAAAATGCAAAGCGATTGATGGTGGTAGAAAGTCCCAACAATTTTGTTGCATGCTGTCTTGCACGACGCACGCTCGCATGTTCCGCGGTCAATCATTTTTCAATGGAACCATCTTTCTTTGTTTGAGACAGCTCTTTTCATGTTCGTTTCGCTTCGCTTTCGCTTTCGCTTTCTAGGGTTCCTAAGAATCCAGCAGAACTCGAGTGCCACTTCAGACAACTTCGCTTAGCAGATATGAATACCATGTTGACCAGCCATCAAGCAGGCCCCATTCAGTAGTGGCCCTACCTCTATCATGTGCAGAGCAATCCGTCTTCCTTTTACTACTTTGACCCCAGCCTCGCAAATACATTTTTCTGCTCACCAACCGCAGTTGTTCGTCTCTGCAGCCCCGGTGGCGGACCATCTGGGAGACGCGCCGCGCGGTGTTGCAGGAGGGGGTTTTCCCCACACCAGTGGACGACGAGCTGAAGGAGCTGCTACCCCCCGAATCGCACATGGCTAGAGTGCGCCTGCTCATGCCCCGGTCCTCGCTGCGCCAAGAGATGGCATGTGTGCTGCACCTGGCGGGTGAGCAATCTGGTTGCAACTGCGAGTGTGTTTGTACGGTGCAATTTTGAAATATGAGGAAGACAGTGGAACGGTTGTCAGCAGGGATAGACGAGGAGGACAGCGGCCATGGTTGAGAGGGAGGTTGAGAGTGTATGGTATGTCTCTTTCCTTCTGCTTAGTAGCACGAAGGGTGAGCTCGCAATAGCGATTGTGCGATTGCACCGCTTTTCCCCACAGGAAGCATTGCCGGACTCCAGAGACTCCTTTTAATGACCACTCTGTTTGGCGTTGTCACAGAAAGCCATTCTCAGTGTTGCCCCCACAAAGAGTCTTGTTTGCAGGCCCTATTCTATCAAAAGTGCCTCAAACCTGGACCCCCAAACTTACAGAGTCTGTAACCCAAGCATTCAGGCATTCACCTTAAAGCCAGAGGCTGACTCCTCAAATGTTGCCCGTTGCTTGCAGGCACAGGAGACCATGGCTTTGACATGCGGTTGAAGCTCGGGGGGCCGTTGCTAGAGCAAGGCGTGGCAACCATGGTGTTGGAAAGGTAAGCGGCAGTTGGAAGTGCAGCCCCGCTGAGGAAAGGCTGACGTCGCGTCTGGTGGTCTGACCATTACAAGGTTCGTTCCTCTTGCTCTTTGCACAAAAGGCCGAACGGCTGGATACAAAAGCAGCCTGACTTTGTCAGATAAGTGTCCTGACAAGATGTGTCCTGGTCACCGAGCTCTCGTCCGTCTGTTTATCATGTTCCTCTGATGCAGCCAGAATAGCAGGGGGTTTCGGTAGCGGACCTGCCTTTAGACCCGCCGTCCTTTGCTTGCATTCAGTGTGAGATCCGTGCCTGTATATGTGCATCTTCTTCAACATTGAGATACAGAGGTTGACTTAGCCCTCCTATAGCGGCCTTTCCTTCCAGAGAGCTTGGTAGCTTCTGATTGCCGTGTCTCGAGATAAAGTGAAACCTCATGACCGAGTGACCAACTCGCAACGGTCCTACATTCAACAAGGGGCCTATCAGAACTTTGGCAAGCTTCTCTCTTCTGATAAGCTCTCGATTGGCCCCATCATTTCCAAAGCTTCCGATTACACCAAGACGCATCCGTCGACTAATATCTTAGCGGATCTGAAATCAGCATTGTTTTCGACAAAGGCATCATCGATGAGAAATAACCAGTCTCCGAACCCAAGTCTAATCGCATACTGCAGCCCCTTCTACGGGAAGCGGCGGCCGGTCGATCAGAAGGGCTCACGGCTGCGGTACGTAAGCGACCTGCTGGCGCTTGGGCGGACAACAATTGAAGAGAGCCGCTCGCTGCTACACTGGGCCCGGGAAGACATGGGCTTTGGAAAACTCGGCATCTGCGGTCTTAGCATGGGTGAGAGCGACCACTTCAACACTAGAGCAGTAGCAAGATGCTCAGTAGGCGCAGGATGACCTACCATCTGATTGCCTTCTCTCAACTCGTTCCTTACTGAGCCCCGTCCTCAGCCCCGTCTCTTTCTATTTCTTGTGAACCGCATCCCGACGTCGTCTTGGGCCTTAACATGCCACGCCGCTGATATGGAAACTTGCAACGTGTTCTGAAGAGTTCCATCCGTCAAAAAGCGTCATCTCTAAAAAGCCTTTGGTATCAAAATATGTCCCTTTCTCTTACCCAGACTTCTTTGACTGTCTCGTTCCTCCGTAAACCGGACCCCTAACCAGTCGTCTCGTCCTTTCAGGCGGCGTGCACGCGTCCATGGTCGGCTCCCTCCACCCCTACCCCATCGCAGTCACCCCGCTGTTGGCCCCCCACTCCGCTGCCGTCGCGTTTTGTGAGGGCGTCCTGAGCTTAACCACCGACTGGGACGTTCTAGCGAGAGACACGACCCTCTCCAAAGCCTTCACGAGCCGCGTGAATGTCCAACCCACCGCCAATTTTGCTTCCGCGTCCCCTCCTTTGAGTTCTGAAGTTCGCGCGGCCACTGATAACCACACAGCAGACCCGATCGCTCAGGGTCCAACACCTAGCAATTTTGCCAGTAGCGTAAGCGCCAAATCTTTGAATGGCAGCATAGAACTTCCAGCCAAGTACAGCGGAGTTGAGGCCCTGAATCAAACGAGCGAGCGCGTTTCGTCAAACCAAGGTTCTGGAAGCCGAGACTCCGATTCCGGATCTCCAGAACCGAGTTCTGGAATTCTCAACCTTGAAGACGAGTTGGCGAGTGAGGAGGCAGCTTCCGTGGCAGTGGCTGCGGTTGCGGCCGGGTACAGTTTAGAGGAGACACGGGCGCGCTTGCAAGAGGTGCTCTCCCTGACTGACGTCACGAGGTTTCCGTGTCCGGAGAAGGCTGAGGCGGTCATTCTGGTAGCGGCCACGGTGAGCGCTTGTCTAGCGGAGAAAGTTTTTGTCAGGTTCGCTTTGAAACAAGTGCAGGAGACTTCCAACTGCGCCTCTGTTTGAAGGGAATTGGGCGTTAAATTCGTCGAAGCGTCTAGGGAGTGGCCTCTGAGGGAACTAGTTTCAGAGATTTGGAGAAGGTTAGGATGTATCTATGTTCGGAGAGGCTCCCTCAAGCCGCTGATTTCTGCCCCTAATCCACGGTGACAGGGTGTGTCGAGCACATCAGGCGGGTGAACTGTCAGTTCAGCAGGTTGGAGAATGGATTTAGCAGTTTAGGGCTCCTCTTCTGGTCTCTTATTCCAGTTTGTCATCGCTGTTACGATCCGGGCGATTACGGAAAGCGAGACTGTAAGAGCGGGGCCCGACTTTAACCATCAAAGGCACTATCCGGAAGTGTGCCTTCCAGACAGCTTTGCTTGCAGAATATCGACCCCTAGAGCGTTCCAGACTTTGAACACAATACTCAGCTTTCTCAAGCCCCATCCTTGGAAGACTTATCCATCCAAAACAGTTCCTCTGTCTCTGCCTCTATCTCTCCCCTTAAGAAGCCTCTGAAGAGGGTACTGACGTTTCCTATGGGTCCGCCAGCAAACGCGTGCCGTATTGACAGCTGCTCGGCTGCCATGTGCAGAACGACGCTTACATTCCACAGCACTCAGTGGAGCGTCTTCAAAAAGCATGGCCAGGTATGGAGGTCCGATGGGTCGTGGGTGGCCACGTGTCATCTTATTTGCTGCACAGCAAAGCTTTCCGACAAGCGATTGTTGATTCTTTGAGTAGAATCTAAAAGACCAAGGACCAGCTTGCTCAACAGGATAACGCATATCAACGGTAGTTCCTCACAATGGAGCAATGGAGCAAAGCTAGCGGAGGACATCATGAGACGAGCCTCGTTTTGAATGGGGATTCTTGACATGCGTGCGGGTGACCCTAGCATGTGTCTTTTCTGGCAGACTGTTGGTGCTGATGAAAAGAGTTTGAGACGGCCGTGAAGGTCATTTATACTCGTGCGTTTTTGGAATTCTCAGTTTGTCTGAGGCTGCACGACCCCAGTTTATGGCCTTTAAACGGATCCTTGGAGTTTCCAACAATCAGGTCGCGTTGTCAGCCGCCAACTTCCACGGGATGTTTCGGCGAGTCAGTAGTAAGTACTGAAGGTTTCAGGCACGCCCCTGGCGAGAATCGGTATACAGTTACTCTAATTCCTCATTGATTGACGGCTGCAATTGCATGCATGATTGGTACGGTAGCGACGCTTAGTTGATAAGTATTCTGGCCATGCATCATGCAAGCACTGAAAACGGATCTTAATCATTTGGAAGTCGTTGCAGTGGTTGGCAACATTTGCGCGCTCATATACAAACATTCCGAGCCATGTGCTTTGAGCATACGTACCGATATGTACATTCATCCATCCCATCCGGTCATGATCACAGGGCATATGTACGTACGTTGCAGAAATCAATTTGCAGATGCATGCAGATGCACATATGTCCATGATTGCATGATCGAGTCTATATATGAGCAACAGCGTATATACCAGTCTTTGAATTAGGACTACCTTCTGATCTGATCTTCGAAGAGACGCACTACCGTACTTTGAAGAAGTTACTTTCAGCTACTCATAGTGATATTTACATTTCAAGACCTACTCTTTGTAAAGAGGAAACGTCCGTACCTGTATATTTGAATGCATGATACATTTAAACCGTCCTTATTGAACTCCTTTAATTGGCCGGGCCGTGAGTATGAGGGATATATCCATGGAGCTCCTCGAGCTAGCCTGCACGGGTTAACTTACCCAGCAGAGATCGACATACAAACGACAATTGACGGGCATTGTCACAATGATGCGGTTGCAAAACGTACGTGATTCAGATTCCTAGCTAGACCCGCAAAATGTTGAGGACCTTCAATCCCAGTCAAGTCCATTGCCAATTGCAAGAGCAGCTGATTGCCGTTCACAAGAGGCCGGACTCTCATGCAGCATCTCGAGTATTACCGCCAGCTCGAATTTGCTAACCGGGACCTAAGAGACATATTAGGTTGACATGTGAGGCCCTCACTCTTAGGCCTACGTACAGTCTGGCAAGTCACGGTTTCTCAGTTGTGGCACGCCACTCTTTGTACAACACTACCTTGATAGTTTCTTATTTGGATAGTGACTTCACAGTTTGGAAATTCCCTCTGGATTTCCCTCATTTTCCCCTTGACGTAGCCCCATAGGGCTTTCCAAACTGGTTGCTCTGACAGGATTCGTAACGTAGAAAAATCCAGTTGCAGACGTTTTAATCCCTTGCACATCCCCAGCAACTTTCTCACTTGTTCCAGAGCCTCCACATCGTCGTTGAAAGACTCTACACTTGCAAAGAGCGGTTGTCTACAGTGAATCACTGGACCTTGCACCTCGTACAGGGCTAATTCTAAAGCCGGCAAACGAGCCAGAACCCCCTCATCCCACAAAGCAGACCTGTTCCATACTGAACTGTCTAAAGCCAGAGTCTCCAGCGACTTGCACTGATCCAGTATCTGGGCAATTTGCGAAGGAATTGGGGAACATGCTCTTCTAAAAGAAACTTTCCGGACACTTGAGGTACCACCGCTAAGGACAGGCCTGACAATATGGTCCCAGCTACATCTTCCAAACTCAATCTCTTTGATGTTGGGGATGCTTACGGAACCTATGCGTGGCCCATTTTCAGGCCAAAGTCGAAGACACAAACTTTGCAGCTCCGGACAATTTAGATTGAAGACATCCGATGAACATGTATTCACTAGCGTCAGCTTCTTCAGAAAAGGGGCCTTGATTATGATTTGATTGCCCTCTGTTGATGGGCCCCGACTATACCAGTGGAGGTCCACAATTGAGGTACATTCAAAGATGTACTCTCCTCTCGGACCATCTGTGGCAATAGCCAGGTGAAGCGTTGCTGACTCCAGGGCTGGGAACAACCTTATAAATGAAGAGAACTTGGCAGACGAAACGCCTAGACCGACCAACTCCAGGGCGCGCAGCTTTGCAAACGGTTTCAGCGACCCAGCAAGAGCCATTACATGAGATTGTGACCCTAAGGAGATGTCCAGCTCCTTGAGATGTTTGCACCGCTGGAGCATGGAGAACAGGTGCGCCCAATTGAAGCCCGAGATCATCGCCTTGTCTTCGAAGCCATATCCCACAAGAAACTGAAACTCTTGAAGCGTGTCTAGCGCGGGCAGTACACCGGCTTGCAAGACCGTCAGCAGATCGACCGATGTGTACAGAATTAGCTCCAGTTTCACCAGACGCCCCGCAGCTCTCAGCATGTAGGAAACGAACATGTCCTGTGCGTTTGATTCCTCAAATACCCATTGGATGGATGTGGCGTCGAGGAGCACCGACTGAAATCTCTTGCAAACGGCCTCCAGTTGCACCCTCCTTTTGCAAGCGGTCGGGGCACCGACCAGTGAACTTTCCAAGATATTTGCAAGCAAGGAGTCATCTAGCTTCAGGAAGTGATCCTGAGGAGGAGTCATTCCGCTTTGGAGCTGAGTGACAAAGTGTGAAAGTGAGCTGAGGCTTTCACAAGCGCTTTGTCTGGACCATCGTTCATCTGCTGCGCTGAATCTTCAGAGTCTAGCTAGGGACTCTGGGTCCAGCTAGCAGTGGTGCAAGAGGCACAAAGTTGACGAATAAAATCTGGGAGAATCGGACACGGACGCCTGCTTCGGACGCCAATAAAGTGCTCGGGTAACACCGAACCGCACGAAAACCCTAAGGTCAGTGGCTTAGCCGTTAGTGGGAACCCTAATCAGAGAGCAGTCACAGGGAAGGGACGCGACCCTAACAAACCGTCACAGGTAGTGGCGTAACCCTAACATACCATCACTGCTTTGTGACCTAACCCGATAGTGCCCGGTTGCTTCTGCGCTTGGCAAGGAAGGGTACCGCGCGAGATGTGACGGTTGGTACCATCCGCAGCCATTGTGCGCCCGGTACCGTCCGAACAAATTTCTCCCAAACTTTATTCGTCAACTTTGTCCGTTTTGCAGCAGTGGTGGCCGGGGCCGCGGGTCCTGGGCGCGCGCGGTGTCAGTCTCTTTGCGCCGTCCAGTTTTTCAAAGCGACTCGACGGTTTTCGGGTTCACATTCGGCACGCGCGCGAGTACTCTCTTGGTAATAAATGCCCTTTGTCCCGGCTAGAAACGGATGCCTAGTAGTCCATTTGCTTTTTCACAGTGGATCCATAGTGGATCGCGCTTTTTGTCCTAGGAATCTGACCTGGAGGTACTACATAGTCTTTTTTACCCCTCCTCTCCTGTGTTCGCCAAGAGGTATGTCACAGCTACTAGGCAATCGATGAACAGAGACAGCTCAACCATCTTTTCAAACATCTGGTGCAGTTAGGAATGATTAGGTGCAACTGTGAAGCTCTACAATTGTGAAGGAGTATTGCTGCTGAAAAATTCGAGCTGTGAGCTCTCTTCTATTGAACGCAATGCTTCATTGACGTGCCAGAAGTTGGGGTGCACGCTACATAGCCACAAAGCACGCCTTTCCTAGCTAGCTTTGAAACAGCTTTACTACCGTTAGAATGAAAGGAGAAGAGGTTAGTCGTTAGTCTGAGGTCCATCAGGAGGTGCATGTGACAGTGAGGTAAGTTTCGAATGATAGCCTACCAGGCTGGCCCTCTTTCAAGCACTTTCAAGCGTGTCTGAACCCACATAAAAAGGTTATTTCAAAGCCAAAGCTAGAGTACCTGTCCTTTCAAAGAAGCGCTCACATATCTTGCAGCTCTATTTAAAAACGCAACTTGTTTGCTTTAGAGTCAAGTTGAGATTAAGATCTATGTTTCCTTGATAGCTGGGCAAACCACCACCCAAGAGCAACGTTTTACCCAAGTCATGATCCAACAATCAGGAAGAAGCGGGGGCGCTCATCATACAGGTGTACCAGTGTGTGCAGCTTGTGTAAATGTGCCGCTTGTAGCTGGATTACCACCTTGTTGCATATTTCCTGAGACTTTTTCTTGTGCTTAAACCACCATCTTAGGTAACCCCTTGCCCGTCAGAAAGCACCCATACTCAGGAGCGATTTTGTCATAAGCAACCTACAGCGATCCGACACTTTGCGTTTCTCTGCTTCTGCACAGTGTTTGTTGCTTGCAATCTGCCAGGTGACTATTGGCACAAATTAAACAGAGAGGCTGCAAGCCATGAGGGCGCGCCGCAACTAGTATCGGCTGACAAAAGCAGGGCCCGCAACGATGAGGGTGGTGCAGACATGGTCGGACAAGGTGGTAAGTTGCCCCATCATCAACTCCTTTTGGATTTTCACAGTGGTGTTCAGTCTGCACCGATCCCAGCTTTGAACGCCATTATGCTGTTTCACAGTAATCAATTCCGCACCTTTCAAACGTTCCTTCCACAGCGCCGGCGTGGTAACTTAGGTCCAACCTTGGGCAGTGCGGTTTTTAAGAGTCTATGCCGAAACACAATCAATGTCAAAACACAAAAGTCAAAAGATATCCAGCCTAGAGGACCTTTGGGCTGCGACGAACACTCTTGATTAAGGATGGCTGAGTGCAGCTGCGTTCTAGCCTCTTAGCCCCATCAAGCGCTAATAGTTCTGCGCTTCCCAACATGCATTTGGTCACAAGCAGCATATGACATCAGGCTGTGCTCTGATGGTCCCCTTCAGATAAGAGACAGTTCTTGTGCACGTCGCTGTACTGGCCATTCAGATGCTTGATCAAAGCTGCCTCCAGGGCGGTACAGGTAAGCACCAAAAGAGCGCTGACCCCAACCATTGAATGCCATCAAGAGCCCGGCCTCGAAGTCTTCTGTTGACCCCCCCACCCTCCCTTCATCTGCATACCCTGTACGATGCGCTCTCACGTCAATGCGGGCGACGTAATGACTGACATTTAGTTGCTTGTGTCGATGCAGCCGGAGCGGGACGGAGTGAAGAGCGTATGTTACGATGTCGCATTCAAACCAGGTAAGAGCCCTGCTCTTCTGCACGCAAGCTTTGGGGTCGTACTGCCGCGTGCGCTTGATCGCTCGCGTGGCTGGCACGACAAAACGTCAAGAACTCCTGTGATTTGTGGAGATAACGTAATTTGTGAGGGCCGTCCTTACCTCGTCATCTCCAAGTGAGCACTTCCCTATCTTATGTGGCACGGGTATAACAAACAAACAAACAAAGTGACAGAGATTGCAAGGACGACGACCTATCATGACCTTGATTCGCGCCCCATGTGCCTCACATTGCCCTCACAGTCATCAAGCTTGTGCCAACCAGTCGTCTTCTCTCTTCGTTGGGTTGTCGCCCCCCCAGAATAGTCTCTCTCGACTGAAGCTCTTCTGTGACTTTGGGAGCCTGAATTTTATCGGCCTCCTGAAGCATGATTTGCAACGGCCACAACCGGTCTACCTATGCAGCAGATCATTTTTCTTCTGTACCTGCCGGGGGGGGCGTCAAGGAACAGCGCTTCCCCTCCGGAGGCATCCTTTGTTTAAAACTTTGACCACCCTAAGGGTCCACATTATACACACAGATACAGACAACTCAAGCTCTCAAAGCAATAATTGTACAAACAAAAAAAGCAAAGGGCTGATGTAGCACAGCCTAGCAAAGGTAAAGTAAGCTTACTTTCAAATAAGTCTGAAAAGCTTCCGTCATCTGAGCGCAAGGTTATGGCCTCTATGCAACGAAGAAAAGGGCCGAATGTTCTAGCAGCAACCGAGCTATCCGAGAGCCAATCACGCCAAAAAAGCCTTCAATCCGGGCAGGCGACGGGCTTCGCATTCACACCCACTCCAACCCGCCTCTTTAACCCCACCCGTCTCGTCGGTGCATATTTTGAAAAGGAGCTAAAGTTCGTGAAACGAGTTTGATAAGACTGAACCAGAAGAACTTTACCTTTCTTTTTCTGCAGATGGGACGCAGCTCGTGGCGGCCGTGGGCAGCCGCGTGCTCATGTACGACGCGTTGGATGGGGACCTCCTCCATTCGCTCAAAGGTGCGCTTTTCCGAGTTAGCTTCACGTTCGAAGGTCATCTGCTGACAGAGCGGGGTCAAGGAGAATGAGTGACTTTGAGGCCGGGCCGGGGATGCTGTGGAAGGGTGACTTGGCGGGGGTAAAGGGCGAAACCCTGGGTTCTGCGGGATTCGACCAATCATTGATCAGAAAGCCCCCGGGTCCAAATTCTAGGCCTTGCCACGTTATTCCTTCCATTAGCTCGAGCGCCGGCCCGGTCTCGGAATAACTGATTCTCCTTGACCCCACTCCGGCGTCTTCAGGATTCATTCCGACGTCTCACCCCCGCGGATGCCCGTTAATCCAAAGCGCCGGCTCTCTGGAAAGGAGTTTGTTCTTTCGCTAAGATGCAATCGGTCCAAGAACCTAACATGGCGCTGTGCTTCATGGGTCGCAATTCAGGAGGTTCTCAGCCCGCCCGCTTCTGCACCCCCCTTCAGCAATAAAGCACCTCACTCGGTTAACAATCATCTGCAGCTCTGAGAAATGGCTCTGGCTTCTGAGCGCCGCCGGAACTTCGTCTTTGGTTACAACGTTCAGACCGTGTAAAGCACTCTGCGTCGACTGGCCAGAATGAAACCGCACGTCTTCCTTGCAAAAATTTCAGACGCAATGAATCTGGTTCAATCCCTAAGACAATCCGGTGTGAATCGGGTTTTCTTCGGTCGATATCTTGCCCCGGTGTAAGATCGCTAACGAAACATGGGGACCTCGGATCCGTGCTACTCAAAGGTCGGCCGGCGCTAAAGCTTAGAAACTCAAGCGCGGCTTCCCCTTGGCCCAGGTCACAAGGATGCGGTCTACTGCGTTGCGTACTCGCGGGACGGGAAGCGGTTCGCGTCAGGGGGCGCGGACAAGACCGTCATCATCTGGACGCACAAGGTGAGGCAGACTCTTCAATATTCAGCAAAGAGAAAGTTTGCAATCAGGGAGGCGGCAGGATACTCCGCCGTCGGTATCCTTTTTTGTTTGATGAACCGGGTGGAAAAGGAATGTTGTATGTGTCCTGCATCTGATCAGAACTTAGGGTTACGCAAGATGGAGGAAAGGATTATCCGGCCAAGAAGCTTCTGCTTCTACAGCGTAGGCTGATATAGTCTGCACGTTCTCCAGCCAGAAAACCACTCGTGAGTCCGGCAAATATAACAGTCCCTGATTTATGAAACGAACGAAAACAAGGAGAATAGCCAAGAGCCGATTTTCGTCATGGGCGGGCGGCTCTCAGAATCTCATTCGATACACCTCCAATCCTACACTGCAAGCTTTTCATAGCAGTTGCAGAACACCATTCATCATCCAAACCAGCATTTGTGACCTTGGCAGTATTTGCTGGCGACCATACCATGTTCCAGGAAGTCGCGGAGACAACCAGCTTGAAGGCTATACCATGCATATACGGCGTTCCAAAGTGCGTTGCTAACATTGGATTCTCATCTCTCAGGCGGAGGGTATTCTGAAGTACAGCCACAACGACTCGATACAGAGCTTGGCGTATAACCCTTTGACGCAGCAGGTGGGCTCTCACCTTCTCCTTCCGCTGCTTCGTAAGTTGCATAGAGAAAGATCGTTTTGGGGATGGCGGAATAGGAAGCGATAGTACGGACCGAACTGAAGGCAAGAGTCTAAACTTGCGCCACGTCAACCACTGAGTCGCCACGTCAATACCGCCTTCAAAAAATTGTAGGAGCAAGCAGGAAGAAATGTCTTTAGAGAAAGGAGCGGTAGAACCCCCTGAATCACCAGGTGACAGGAATAGATGCATAGAAGAGTCTCACGGCAACTGAGATTCACCGTATGCAAACGTTAATTTGAGCTGAAGTGGGCTGCTCTGGGTGCAGCTGGCGAGTACAACGGCGACAGATTTCGGGCTGTGGTCGCCCGAGCAAAAGTCGGTAGCCAAGCACAAGGTCCCCGCCAAGGTGAGCGCCCTTCCCTTGGAGTGCTTGACTGCAAGCTTTTCTCAGGAAATATATGACGTCGTTGTATGCCATCATTACTGCTCGGCAAAGAAGGCTAAAGATGCCCTCCAAGTCCATCCTTCGAGTTCTTCGCCACGAAGTTGTGAGTAACTCTCGAAGTTATCTCTTCCGTTACTGAGCCCAACGAAACCAGATTATTGCAGCTCCCCAGTCCTTTTGCCTCGCTTGGATGCTTGCCCCCTCCACCTGACGCTCTCTAGACATCACTCCTCTGTCTCCAAAAGCACGTCAAGTCTTCTCCCATCCCAGTTCGTAATTTCATAGACTCACATTTCTTCTCCCTCCACCTTCGCCTCTCCACCTGCTGCGCTTTGACGCTTGATGGCCTCCACCTCACCTTTTCGAGAAAAATCATTCCCCCATCCCTCAAGGTGATTGTTTCTTCGGACCCCCCGAAAAACCCACGCTCTGCTCAGACGAACTTCACCCCCCTTCTCCAGGCGCTCTGCTGCGCTTTGACGCTGAACGGCCTCCACCTCACTTTTTCAGTGAATCTTTCCCCCCTCCCTTAAGACTACTGAATTCTTGACCCCCTGAAAAACTAGACTCTGCTCGGACGAAATCCACCCCCCCTCCTCCAGGCGCTCTGCTGCGCTTGGACGTTGCACGGCCTCCCTCTTTTGTCGAGAACAACTCTTTCCCTCCCCTCAACATGATACGGTTTTTCGCCCCCCCAAGAACTCTACACTCTGCTCAGAAGAATTTTGTCCCCCCGTCTGCAGGCGCTCTGCTGCGCTTGGACGCTGGACGGCCTCCCTCTTTTTGGCGAGAGCAAACTTTTCTCTCCCCTCAAGATGATACGGTTCCTTGCTCCCCCACGAACCCTACCTTCTGCTCAAACGATACCCAACCCCCCCTCTGCAGGCGCTCTGCTGCGCTTGGACGTTGGACGGCCTCCACCTGACTCTTTTTCCAAAATCCCTCCCTTCTCCCCTGAAGACGAATCAATTCTTCGGAACCCCCAAAAAACTAGTTCTTTGATGAGCGGAATCACCCAAACTGTCCAGGCGCTCTGCTGTGCTTGGACGCTGGACGGACTCCACCTGGCGCTCGGGCTATACAACGGCGTCATCACCATACGCGATGGGCGAGCCGGGACGGAGGTCGTATCGATCCAGCGGGCCGCCCCCGTATGGGCGCTCGCGTGGTGTCCCCCCGGAAAGGAGGAGATGGCAGAACAGCTGGCGGTCGGCTGCTGGGACGCTACGCTCAGCTTCTACCGGTTGAATGGACAACAGGTGAGGAAGCTCCCGTTCATAAGATATGTTTCTCAAGGTTCCACTTTGAGTTCTAAAATTTCGAACGGTATGGGTATGATGATCGGAACGAAAGCGTGAATGCAATCGATATGCTGACGGTCAGGTGCTGGGACGCGACGCTCCGCTCTTACCGGCTCAACGGACAACAGGTGAAGAGTGTAAAATTAGACAAACTCCAATCAAATGTAGGTTTTGAAGGATATAAGGAAGTCGGGGGATTGATTTCTTGTAGAGTTTGCTGGCAGTAATCAAAACCCAAGAAGGCATAGATTGGAAGTTTGCGCTGACAGAGTCTCCGCGACGCTCGGCTTTTACCGGCTCAGCGGGCAACAGTTCCACTTTGAGAACGTTGATATCAGGTACAAACGTCATTATGATTTGAGCTTTTTGATTCTGGGGGTGACTGGGACTGATGCTTGGAAGCTCGATCGGTCCAGAAGTCGCGGATACTTCTCCTCGCTGCCCAAAATGTGCTCAGCTTCTACCGGCTCAGCGGGCAACAGATGGAGAGTCGGCCTTCTGGAAGTCCGAGAATTCAAAAAAGTGGTTTGGGTTGTTGGCATTTACAAATGTGGGTCAGGAGTTCGCAGCTCGAAAAATCACGGCTCTTTGCTTCCTCCAACAAAAGGGAGAAGCAACGATGGGCCGACTGAACCTTAACAGAACGCCACAATCCAGAAGCTTATTCCCCGTTTCACCGCAGATCGGCAAGGACCGCGCTCTGGAGAGCGACCCGACCAGCCTCGCTTTCACCGGTCCCAACAGCGAGTTCCTTCTGATCGGCGGTACGAACCGCAAGGTTCTGATGGCAACTAGGGACGGCACAATCCTCTGCCCGGTCGCCGAGCGCGACGACTGGGTGTGGTGCGCGCACGCGCGCTCGCGGGGGACGCACGTGGCGGTCGCCTGCCAGGACGGGAGCGTGTCGGTGCACCAGCTTATACATAGCACGGTGCACGCCCTATACCAGGAGCGATACGCTTTTCGGGAGTCGATGACGGACGTCGTGGTCCAGCACCTCATAACCGAGCAGAAGGTGCGCATACGCTGCAAGGACTACGTGAAGAAGCTGGCGGTTTACAAGGACCGGTTAGCGGTGCAGTTACCGGAACGAGTGCTTATATACTCGCTCGCGGGCCCCCCGGAAGATACGAACGACATGCAGTACCGGGTGACAGCTAGGATCGGGGCAAAGCTCGAGTGCAACCTGCTGGTCTTGACGTCAGAGCACGTCATCCTCTGCCTCGAGAAGAAGCTCCAGCTGTATAACCTGGACGGAGAGAAAGAGCGCGAATGGGTTTTGGAGGCGGTTATCCGGTACATAAAAGTGGTCGGGGGGCCTCCGGGGCGGGAGGGGTTACTGGTCGGGTTAAAGAACGGGGCGATCGTGCAGGTGCTGGTGGATAACCCGTTCGTAACCCAGCTGATCAAGCACCGGGCGTCGATCCGCTGCCTGGATCTCTCGGCGGAACGGCGGAAGCTCGCGGTTGTGGACGAATCGGCGGCGGTCGTGGTTTACGATCTCGCCACGAAGGGCGTCCTGTTCGAGGACGCGAACGCGAACAGCGTCGCCTGGAATGGCGACATGGAGGAGATGCTGTGCTACAGCGGTAACGGTCAGCTCAGCATCAAAACCGGCGACTTCCCGGTAACGGTTCAAAAGCTCCAGGGGTTCGTCGTTGGGTTCCAGGCGTCGAAGGTGTTCTGCCTCCACCTCCAGGCGATGCAGACGATCGACGTCCCGCAGAGCTCCAGCATGCACAACTACCTGACACGTGGCGACATCGGAGCGGCTTACAAGGTCGCGTGCCTGGGCGTGACGGATTCTGATTGGCGCGCGCTTGCAATGGGGGCGCTGACGGGGATGCAGTGGGAGATCGCGAAGAAGGCGCTGATTCGGATACGGGACGTGCGGTTGCTGGATCTGCTGCATACGAAGCAGGGGGCAGGAAACGCGGGGAAATTTGGGGGAGGGGACGGGGGGCAGCTGTTCCTCGCGGAGCTGCTGGCGTATCAGGTGAGCGACGGAATTGCTTCCTGTCATTCCTGAATTTTTGTTTTCTTGGACTCGTTGAGTGAGATTTGGGCTGTCTTCAATTGCCACGCGTTTCGTCGTGCCTTCTGTAAGGTTCGTCTGCAGGCTCAAACGGACCTGCAATTATATCGTCTGATTCGGCGGAGGCTCTAGCCCCGCGAATGGTGACGAGTCCAACCGACTTTTTTTCGGCGGACGAAAGAACCCGCACGTAAAGAGCACTGATCTCGCAAATGAGGTTCTCGAGGGGTTCACGAATTTTGGATGTGTTGCAAAACATCTTTCGTCTCCCTCTTGAACTTATGCCGTGTCGTCTTATCGCGTCACTGGTCCGATGTGGTGCTGCAAGTCATTTCGTTCTTATTACCTACGTCTCGTAATGGTCTGCAATCGGTGTGAAGCTCAGAGCGTCTTATCTGACTCTGTTCCTTCCGGTAAAGTTACTTGAAGAGATTGCAGCCTCTTATGCCGTTCAATCGTTTCACAAGCTGACTAGCGTCCTTCCTTAAGGTTCGCCCTGTTCCCAACCCCTCTACGAAAAGCTAGAGAAGCCCGGCGCGCGTTCTTCAGATCGGCGATGCTCCAGCCATCCGCGCTTGCCTTGCCTAAATCAGTTGTAGAACCCGCTCATTCCGTGTCTAAGCAACACGATTCTGCCGTTTCAGGGCAAGTTCGTGGAAGCCGCGCGCGCATTCGCGCGCGCAGGTGCGCCCGAGCGCGCGGTCGCGCTTTTCACGGACCTGCGGCAATTCGAGCTTGCGAAGCAGTGGGCCTCGGAACTGGGCGGGGCGTCGGATCTCAGCCCAACTTCCGTGGTCGCGAACGGCGTTCCCCGGACGGACGGGGCCTCCAACACGAAGGTCGCGGAGCTGATCGCGGCGCAGGCCGCTTGGAGCGAGGAGGTGGGCTGTCGGATGATTGCGTCCGCAAACAAGTGGCTGATATAAGCACATTGTTTTGTTGGATCCAAGCTGGGCGACTGTCAGCAACTCTACACCATTTTCCGTTGGCAGGAAAGAGGGAGCCAAACCGAACGATCTTCCGAGATGTGAAGACACCATTTTCAGGGTTGGCTGCATTGATTCTGGAGTCCTTTGCGAGAGGGTGATTCGAAGCAGACTTCCCTCGAAAGCTCTAGATACGAACATCGAAGCCTACCAAACGGATCCTCTTTTGTCAATCTTTTGGCTGAATCTGGTGGAGGACAAGTGCCTAATCCTGGACACAGTCCAAAAGTGCCAGTACTACGGAGTTGGTGAATGTGCACATTGAGGACTTGGACTTTTCCGCTTCTTTCCTAACAAACCGATTTTAAGCGAACAAGGTCCGCAATCACCTGAATCTGATTCCCAAAAGGAGCGTTCTCTTTCATCGTCCTTTGACCGGGCTCCTGTTCTTGAAAATTTTGTTCCTAAAGCCCGTGTTGTCCCCAATCTCTTCCTGTTAATGCCAGTCTGACCATTTGCTTCTTATACCCTTGCGTCAACCCACAATTTATCCAGCTTTGCTCCGAAATGTAACCCTCCGTGAGCCCGCTTCCAGGTCAGCGACTTCCGCGCGGCCGCCGAGATGTACCTCCAGGCGGGCCAGCCCGAGACTGCAATCGCCATCCTCGCGCGCCACAAATACACCGACCGCCTCATTGACGTCATGCGCGGCCTTTCCGCGTCAGAATCCGACCGGAAGGCGCTCGCCGCGTGCGCGGCCGCGCTTGCACGCGCTGGGCAGAAGACAGCCGCGATCGAAGCGAACCTGAAGCTGGGCGACTTTGACGCGGCGATCGGGCTACACTTGGAGCAAGAGCAGTGGGACGAGGCCGTCGGGCTGCTCGCGCGCGCGCCGGAGCGGCGGGCGCAGGTGCACGGCGCGCGCGCTCGGGCGTTCGCGGCTGCGGACCGCTTTGAGGACGCGCGCGCGGCGTACAAAGCCGCGGGGCTCCCGGAGCAAAGCCTACGGATGCTTGCGCAGTTGGCGGAGAACGCGGTGACGGAGCGGCGCTTCAAAGACGCCGCGCAGTTCCTGCACGCGGCCGCGGCGGAGCGCCTCGAGGCCGCGCACTTCGCCTGCGAGCGCGCAGCGCGCGCCCGCGAGCTCGCGGCTTTCTGGGCGGCCCGGCGCGCGGCCGAGGCGTACTACGCGTACCACGCGATCCACCACAGTACGGACCAGCCGTTCCGGACGGTCGGACCCGATGCGCTTCTGCATGCGGCGCTTTTCGTTCTGTCCCGGGCAAAAGACATTCCCCCCGGGGTATCGCTCGTCTACGTTTTGCAAACGGTCGTGAAGCAGGGGGAGGCGCTCGGGGCGTTCAAGCTGGCGAGCTTCGCGGCGGAGCGGCTCCAAGGGATGCGCCTTCCGAGCGCCACGTGGCAGGACGAGGTGGACCTGGCGGCGCTCGCGCTGCGGCGGCAGCCGCCGCGCGACTCGGAGCACCTGCTGAGCCCGTGCGCGCGCTGCGGCGCGCCGCTCCCGCTCTTCTCCGCGCAGTTCGAGCAGTGCGCCGGGTGCGGCCACGCGGTCTTCCGCTCGTTCGTCACGTTCGAGGCCCTGCCGCTGCTCGAGTTCGCGCCGGAAGAGGGCGTCTCGCACTCTGAGGCGGTGCAACTGCTGGAGGAAGAGGGCCTTTTCGACGGCGCCGAGGAGCCGCATATGCGCGGCCGCCAGCAGCGCCACCCGGGGGACGTCCAAACCCTGCGCCTCGACGACGACGAACCGCCGTCCATCAGCGGTAACGGCATTCCGAGCGGTAAGGCGTCTCTGGGCGCGACGGCCGGGGAGCTGATGCGGCGGCAACTAGAGGGGGGCGGCGTGGTGCGTGCGGACCGTGCGATGCTGCGCGCAATGCGGCGCGCGGACGTTCTGATCTTGGAGTGGCCTACGGACGTCCTACCGGTCCGGTACCTGTGCATGGTCGACCCGGACGTACCGGTCGCAATCTGCGGTTCGTGCAACCAGCTGTTCGAGGAGGAGGAGTGGGAGATGGCGCTGCTAGAGCACGCCACGTGTCCTTTTTGTCGAGAGGAGGGCGACCGGCCGCCGTCGTTTCCGCCTCGACCGGAGCCGGAAGCGGAAGCGAGGCTCAGCGGAAACGGGGTCGAAATGGAGAACGGCACCACGCGGCCCGGGACGGGAAAGAAGCGGCCAGGGGGATCCCCCGGGCGCCCGGGCACTGCTTCCGCCAGGCCGGGGACGGGGGCCGGGCGACCCACCTCTAGTTGGGGAAAACAAGCAGCGGGGTTGAGGCCGGGAAGTAGTGCGGGACGGGCGAAGTCGGTTCTGTCCAGTAGTACAAACGGAATCCAGGCGGACGGAATACAGGGGTGGAGAGGGAGCCGGAACTCGTCGGAACGGCTGAGCAACGGCGGGATGGAAGATCCGGTGTTCGTTGGTCGGCTCTCCAGTCAAAGCAGACGATAAAGCTGACACAAGTCGATTCTGCTCTTTGTCCTTCCATAGTTCCGATGGAAAAGGTCTTCTAAGAATATCTGTAAAATAGCTCTTTACCCGGTCACAGGTAGAGCTACTACGCGGGTGTCTCGGCTTACGACACCTCGCTTTGCATGCACGGCACTGCAAAGAATTTGTGAGATAGAATGGTCATCAAGCAGAGAAAGCATTCTGAAATACCGATCTGGCAATACAAGTTGCAGCTTAATTGCTTAAGGGCACTTGTGGCACCTTGCCGCTGGACGTACGGCTAGGCTCACTCCCATGCTTAACCACCACGAAGTTGTCAAGTTGCATCGGTGCATGTTGAAATCTGGGATCATTAAGGAGACGCTGCACGCCCAACGTAAGTCACCACCATAGTGAAGATGCCGCCCTATGAACAGTCTTTGCTCATTGCAGACAAAGCCACGGTGCGGACCCGCGCCTTAGAATTGTATTCTTTTATTTAGCTGCCCATTGTTTGTGCTTACAAGCGTTGCATACAATGAAGGCATATTCATGAAACCCTGGCATCAGAGGGATATACGATTTTGTTTCTTTCTGTTTGTCACAATGTGGTTGCGTATCTACTTGATCGCATATAGACACCCAAGCTGGTCAACTTAGCGACGCAACAGCCAGCTTTAAAGTTTGTTGACAGAAGGTGCGTTGCTTCGGCCGAGCGACTTTCAACACCATTAAGCGACAGCTTTTGTACACGACATGTGCATATGTGGGGACGTCTCGCGATCAGAAAGGGATTATGCAAGTCACTACATAGGCCTAACATGCATCAGCTAGTACCGTCGTATAGCGCGTCTGCATGACATCAGGGTGAAGCTGAAGGAGGGCCGGTTGAGTCCTTCTTGTGATGCTTCAGCCAGCAGATCAGATGCAAGCTGTCGCTTCAGTCACAGAGAATCGACTTGCCATGTATTTGCAAGGAGGCGCCTTGAACGAGCTTTCTTTCGGCTTGTGGGTCACTGATGTCCGCAACGTTGCTTGAGTTATAGAGGATTTGATGCTTCTGGGCGAATCCTGAGAACTTCTGCTCATCACTACACTCTTGGTACCTGTGAACAAGAAGATTTTTTGAATCAGAAAGCTGGCCTCGAACACGACTCGCGACGGGTTCTCCGCACTTGGTGCTTTAATTGCTGTGAGCTGGGGTTCCAGTACTCGCTAAATAAATGTAACAATGGAATAAGGGTCAGAGTAACCGTTACTAATACAAAGAGCATGAGCAATCAAGCAGGCAGTATGGCAAAAAGGATGTAGTGGTCTGCAGACGAAACTTTGGCTGGCAAGACTTGTTGTACATCCCTTATTTGTATCCGGATCGAAACTGACTGTTGCGGCAGGATCGTCAATCTGCAAAGCGAGCAAGTATGTTCGCTCTGACCAGAATCCTGTCAACTGCTTTCACTTAGGAACACAAGCTTGAGACCCCAGCACAACTGCGAAGCCAGAAATTCTAGATTGTTTCCCGCCTGCTGATGTCTCTAGATAACCTGCACGCGACCTCCTGGGCCCAGTGTGAAGAGCGAATCTCCCTCTCCAAGGAAACTGATGCGCACGTTCCCTTCTCCAACAGCTCCTGCAAGGATTCAAAGGACATGGGATCAGCGGTTCGTATCATACCAATAAAAATGCCTCATTTCCATCGGTTGATTTTCACAGGTCATTTGAGACTTTGCTTCCGAGCACGACAGGCAACCTCTCGAACTATGAAAACGACGAGGGAGCATCTTCAGGGCCAGAACCGGGTTGTTCTTACAGTCGGAAGACACTGTTGGTAAAGGGACTCCTGTAGCAGGTAAACGACCCTTCTGGACTCCACCTGAGCATAAAGTTCGGCGTGAAGGTGATTGGTTGGCGGAAGAACTGTCCAAGCAACAAGATTGCGGGGATGGCAATCCTACTTCTATCTAGAGAGGGTTTGTGACCGTTCCGTCCACATCAACTGCCCTACCAACGGGCCACGTCTCGTGCAACTTTGATAAGTCATCGGCACTGCAACTAACCCAAGATCCTTGGAGTAACTGAGTGATTTTGTAGAAATCTAAAAAGCATACTCGGGAAAGACCTTCAACTAGCAAAGGCATAAAATGCTCACCGGGCTCACTCTCTGCAAAATCCTTGCCGGCCGCATCCTATCCGCGCGCAGAAACGAGCCGCTCCGTCCGCTCGAGGGCGCTCGCAGTCCAGCCCCGCGGCTCGGACGCGCGCGCGGCCCCGAGGGGCTCCATCGCCAGCTGCGGCGCGGCCGCCAGCTCGGCCCCCTCGCGCTGCGCGACGCCGCTGTGCAACCAGGCGCGCGCGGGCGCGCGCGGTGTCTGGAGATACCTGGTCTTGAACACCGCGCTTTGGTTGCAGCTTGCCCTGTTCTCAATTTCCGCTCCATGTTCCGCAGGCTTCAGGGCTCGTCCAGCTTTTGCGTTTTCATGTTTGGCCGCTCCCCCCCCCCGCTGCTCATTGGCGTAATCTGATGCTATTAAGGGCGCTCTAAAGGGACCTGGGGTGCTGCCAAATCTGACTGGGGGGTACTCGACGGGGTGCGTAACTCCGGGAAGGGGTACGGTTGCGAGAACGTTTCGTGAAACCCCTGGCACTACTTCGGTCCTCGCGCAGGAGTTCGGTACTTCAAGTGTCGGAGGGCTCAAAGTATTGAGGAACGAAGGGTCGCGCCATGACGTAGACGGACGCCGATCTTGCTCCACCTCACCGCCGTACGCATGACTCCTCATGCCCCCCGGATTCAGAGCGGAAACCCAGCACGGCTTTGCCGCCTCGACTTGAAAATGCTCGGCTGGTTTGTCGCGTCTCAGATCCAACTTCAGCCCCGCATCCCGCCGCTCTCGGTTAAACCCGTGTTGGCTTGGAGCTCCGCTCGCACCCAGCGGAGCGGACCCGGAGCTTGGGCGGAACAAAGCCCCCAGAACATCTGCCTCACTGATGCGCTCGGTTGACCTTGCGCCCGAAACGGCGCGCGAACGATCGAAGCGCACAAATGGCCGCCCAGCTTCCGCAGCGACCGGGGCAGCGAACCGGGCATCCCCCGGCAGCTCCCCGGTCACGCCACCCGTCTCCTGAGGCAATTCGCCCGCTTCTCCGTCTGGGCCGCGCGCGCGCACTCTTTTCCCCGGGCGCTCCTCCCCGGTTGGCTCTTCCCTGCTGCGCGTCGTCCACCTCTCCATAGAACTCGCGACCGCCCGGTTGACGGCAACCGCGCGCGCGCTCAGGAGCGCGGCGTACGACCGGTCGAAGTCGTCGAGCAGGCCCAAGAGGTTCGGCACGTTCGACGCAGCTTCGAAGTCGGCCTCCCAGTCGCGCGCCATCGCGGCCGCGGGGCCGCCAGGTAAAGGGTTTGGGCTGGCGGAATAGTCTCTGAGGTCTTCCTGGGCGGCGTTGAACCAGCGCACGCTGGAGCGGAACACCGGGCGCATTGTGCTTTGCAGGCGGGCCAAGTCGTTTCCGATTCCGCCCGAACCCGCCGGAATGCGTGCGCCCACTAAGATCCTAAAGGCGGCCCTCGACAGTTCCCCCGCCCCCCCGCTTCTTTCTCCGCTCCCTCCAGGATTACCACGTCCGCAAATGAATTGGACGTTATCAGGACGAGCGGCTTGCAAGGAGACCTGTTCAGAGGAAGCTGGCGCAAGCGGACGAGTGCGGCTTCCAGAGCGAAACGCGACACCGGAAGTTTGGCTGGGGATTCCATGCTTCGCCCTCTTTCTTGACAGGCTCTCGTCCAAAACACCCCGTCTCTCTTCGTTTGTCACTATTCTGTCTTGAGCTCCATTTGCGTCCGCAGAACTCCCCGAAGTACTTGCCTCACCAAGGTTCTCGTCTCGCGGTAATGCTCGCGCACGCTCAGAGCGAACACACGGCCGCGCAGCTTTTCGGACGCCCGCGGCAACAAACCGGACACCCTCCGGCAGCTCCCTGACCACGCCACCCGTCTCCTGACGCACGTCGCCCGCTTCTCCGTTCGGGCCCCGCCCTTTCTTCACGGGGCGCTCCTCCCCGTTCGGCTCGTCCCTGCTGCGCGTCTTCCATCTCTCCAGGGAGCGCGCGACCGCCCGGTTGACGGCAACCGCACGCGCGCCCAGGAGCGCGGCATACGATCGGTCGAAGCAGGCTAGCAGGCCCAGAAGGTTCGGCACGTTCGGCGCGGCTTCGAACTCTCCCTCCCAGTCGCGCGGAGGCGCGGCGGCGGGGCCGCCAGTCGGAGGGTTTGGCCCAGTGGAGGGATCTTCAAAACGCACAGGCGCGGCCGCGAGGACGCCCGCCGGAGGGTTTGGCCCAGCAGCGTAAACTCCGAGGCGCGCACCGCCTGCCGCAGGGTTTGATCCGGCGGAGTACCCTCTGAGGTCTTCGAGGGCGCTTCTGAACCAGCGTACGCTGGAGCGGAACACCGGGCGCACCGCGCTTTGCAGGCGGGTCAGGTCTACCCTTCCGGAATCGTCCGGAACCCGTGCACTCGCTAAGATCGCACAGGCGGCCCTGTACAGCTCCCCAGCCCCCTCGCTTCTCGTTCCGTTTCCGCTAGAAAGGCCGGGCCTGAAAGTCGTTCCGTCGCCATTCGGCGGAGCAGCTTGGGATGGGACCTGTTCAGAAGGGGCCGGTAATAGCGGACAAATTTGAATTTGATGGGGGACTCGTATCCGGGGGTTTGGGCGTTGTTTCTGTGCTTTGCCCTCTTCCTTGGTTTGGGTATGTCTATGACAAAACCCAGACGCACTTTCGTTTCGGACGTCCTCTCCCGACCGGCGTCTACCTCGCGCCTCCTTCTGTAGTTTGGAAGGTTGATCTTCGGACTGTCTTCCTGGATGTGCATCGTTGCTAGCCGCGCGCGCTCTCTCGTCCGGTGTTGCTGAAAGCGGGCCTCCGTCTTCGAGTCCCAGCATCGATATAGATCCCAAGAGGGATGCTTCTTCCTGTGGAAAGTCAGATATTCGAATTTATTTCCTATTGTCGTAATAAACTTCCATGATTAGTTGAAACGGGAAGTCCTGGATTGAGGATCTAAAATTTTCTTTTGATGTTTTAGATATGCTCTAAAGATTGTGGAGAGGTAGAACGATGACATTGAATTGTTGTTGAGTCTGCAATTTGGATTTCCCACTCTCACTTCACGTTGAAGAATGCTGTTTTTTGCAGTATCTTTTACATCCATGAAACCTTCATCAAAAAAAGAGAGACGGGAGGAGGGCTTCTATTGCTCATTTATGTCCCATCCACAAGCTTTGGCGGAGATAAAAAGTTCAGGGCCTTCCAGTGGGTGATGCTTACCTCTCGCATGATTTGAAGCATCGCAACAACCTCCTGCGTCAGCTCCGCGACGAAGTTCCGGACCTTCACTTTCTCCGGCCCTGTGAGTGTGGGCCCATTCGGGCGCTCTGAAAGCGCAAATGGAATTGAGTTACAAAGGGAGGCTAGATTCTACATTTTGATGTTGGCACCGCCAATACAGGTCCGAAAGGTCCTATATGCTGGAGGTGAAACGTGCGGATACTCGCCGACTTAAGTTTCTGCTTAACCTAAGCATGAATCGCAAAAAACGCGTGAGGACATGCGGCTCGCAACCTCTTGATGATCCTTCACAAAACATAAAAAAACGGGTTCCGTCTTTTGGTCGAGTCAAAGAAGTCTCAGCGCTCGGCTTACAGCATGAATTCACGCGGCTCGTCACCTTCGACTCGGCATTTGAATCCCATCGGTCTTCTAGTTAGAAATAAAAAGACGTTGAAGTTACAGATTGAGGCGGTGTGCCCAAATCAAGATGTCTAGAGCGTTCTGAGAGGAAATAATTTTTGAGATCACGACTGATACCTCACCTTCGTTGTTCGCTGCAGCTGGCTGCCTAGACGCGCCCCGGTACCGAGCCTCACCGACCACTGCTTCGCACCATCCCTCCGGCATCCTCCGTCTCGCGTTCCGCCCCACCTCAAATCGGCCCATTGCAGCGTTCCGCAACAGGTCCGGAAGCACAGCGCGTTCCACCGCCTCGAGCAGCGCGGCCGCGTGGTGCGCGTTGAAGGCTCCCGCGAAGACCGGATTCCGGGGCCGGAACTGCATTCTGCTCAGCGCTTCCGCCTTCCGCTCGCGGCGTTCGTTGGCGAGCGCGCAGACGTTGCGCAGGAGACGCTTGCGAAAGCCGTCACGGTCCGCCCCTGCCACGTCACCGACCGGACTCTGCTTTTCCGCCGGAACGTGTTCCGGTGCGTACTCCGCTCGCGCGGCACTTTCTTGAAGCCAAGCCGCATCCGTTGGGATCATCTCTCCGTCCCCACCTTTGCCCGCATCCAAGGCCTCCAACCCTTCAGCCGCACCCCAATCTGCTTCAGTCACAGACTCTCCGGCCTTCCTGAAGCCGAACCACTTAGCAAGCGGAACGTCTTCGATTTTCCTGAGCATCTCCACCCTCTCGCTAACACGCACAACCTCCATCGGTTTGGCTCTCTTCATGCGCTTGGAATGCGTATCAGGACTTTCAGCTGAATCTACAAGGCTGCTCCCTTGTGGCAAACACTTCCTGTTCCTTTTCCCCTCTGCCGTCCACTTCCACACCCCGTTCCGCTTCCGGCCCCTTTCCTGCTTCCGCTTTTCTGTCCGCTTCTCTTCGGCTCAGTTCGCAGGGGGGCTCGAGAGTTCTTGATGTTACCGTCGGTTCGACGCTTGGCTCGAAGTCGACGGCCCCAGTAATCTTCCACATACTTCTTACTTCTTCAACAGCCTCGGTTCCCTCACATTCAAACTCGCTCAAAACTTCCGCATCTCGCGCTCCCCGCCCTTGGCACCTTACTTCCCCCTCATCTGCGCTTTGCACAGCTTCTCCAACTGCCCAGGCAACGAATTTCAAACCCTCCCCACCGTCGATTTTGAAGCACCTTTCCCCCGCTTCCACCAGTCGCTCCAGCTTCGTCCGGAACCATTGGGAACCTCCCCCGGGCTCAGCTTGTCCTCGTCCGGCAGCCAACCGTTCACCATGTAGGACAACCCACGTGCCTCGTCCAGCGCGTCCGGCGTCCACGTGTCAAGCAACGCGCGCGCGGACTCGACGGCCTCGGACGGCTCCAGGCAGCTGACGAAGTCGGCTTCGGTCGCATCCGGGTCTTGTTCACACCTGCATGAAAGACTGTGCTTGTTAGAAAAGAGTGGCCTGGATTGCAACGGAAAGTGCGAAAGGGTACAGAAGTCAGTTCAGAAACTGCAGCTGACGTCTTTCTGTCTTGAAAGATTCTGTCTTAGTAGAATCTAAGCGAGTCCCTTCTGGCCACCGGCGCCAAAGATTCCACAACATGGACTTTTCAGTCCTATATCTGCCATAGAGAGGAAGTCAATCGAAGTAACACATCAAACTTCCGCTTTCTAGCGATGAATGATATATTTAATCTTCCGATAATGAGATCCTAAAAGGACAACAAACCTCAACAGACCAGGAAGGCTGCAAGGCTGGGTTGATTCTACGTTCTCAAATTGCATGTGGCTCACGAAAAACTTCAAATCACACCCCACATCCTTTCTCACCTTTCTGAAGTGTATGACCGATGGTCACCCGTTGCTTGAGCCGGAGAGGGCCTCTCAGAAGGCGCCGGAGCTTCCGTCGGCGAATCCACCTCTGTTCTCAAGGAAGCACCCGCTCGCACTTCCACTTGGGCTTTCAATTGCTCTGCAGGTCTCGGTTCCGAAGTCTCCATTGCTCCATCTTCTCCTTCAGCTTCCGCTTCCGCCCCTACCCCGACTTCCGCTTCCGACCGGAACAGGCATGGCTCCACCCGGATTAGGAAGCCACCCTCTACTCGATGGATGCCAGTCTCGTTTGAAGGTTCTTTCTCAGACTCCCCGGATTTACTATGAAGCGGGAGAGGATTCAGGAGTTCAGGGGTTGAGGCAGCTGCCAGCTTTGCAACCGGAGGCTGGGTACCGGGTAGCATCGCGGGCTGTGCAACCCGCCGGCGCGGATCCGAGAGGGGCCCCGGTAGTCCAGCAACTGGGAGTCGGTCGGTAGAAAGAAAGCGGCTATTGTTCGGTCCTTTGACGCTCTCGGAGGGAGGAGGGGCACCCAGAGAAGAATCTCGCGTGGGAGTCGTCTCAGATTTGGGGAGATGGAGCTGGAGATCGCGCGCGCGTTGCACGCGCTTTTGCGCTGCGCGAGCCTTCCCCTGCGTGACTTTAGCAACGGTTCCAAACAATGGCCCCACCGTTCCGCTCTCGTTTTCTTTGTCCCCCTCTCGTTGCTCCGTGCTTTTCTCCGGTGGCCATTCTTCGACGGACACGTGTCGCCGCTCCCAGCGCTGCCACGTGTACTCCAATTTGTTTGGGCCCTGGTACCGAACAAAACGCCGCCCTTTTTGGAGCATCTTCTCAAACTTGGCCCTGTACCACGCCCGTACATCCACGCACCGACTCCGCAACGCGCTTTCACCGGGGGTCCACCTGTTCAGCTGCTCGGAGGCGCGCCGGGCGGATTCAACCGACACGCTCTCCCATCTCCCTAGCAGGTCTTGAAGAAGCCTGCCCGCCTTTTCAGCCGCCATCGCATCCTGCTTCTTCGTTTGCTGCTCTTGACGCTCGGGCCTGACGTTCGGCCGGCCGCTTTGTGGTCCAGACGACGGCCGATCCGCTGTTCCGCTCAGCCCCAAACCGTTCCGGATCCTGGTGCCGCGACTTCCCTTCCCGTTCCGGCCTGAGCCTTTCCCTCCAGGCTCCCAGACGGGGTCTTCCTCTTCGCTTCCGGTGTCGTCATTCGCGCAGTCTGAGAGCGCGCGTGTGCGCGCGGGCGCGCTGCGGCTTCCGGTACTTTGCGGTCTTGTCGGGGACTGCTTGGAGAACCCTCGAAATCCTAGCTGCTCCACGGCCGGTTCACATCCCCGGTCTACGCTTCCGAGTAGCGTCTCAAACCCTTGCCGAATGTCTTCCTCGGCCATGCTGGGAAAGGGGTCCGTCTCTTCAACCCGCCGATCGGACTTCGCAGACCGGGGCCGGGAACCGGGCGGCAGCGGGGACCTACCGGGCACAACTGGGAGGAGAAAAGGACCTTGTGTAAGCAATTTTGAAGGACTGAGGGGTCCCTTTTCGCTACAGTCTTCTTCCTTTCACGGCATACAAATGCATTCAGGTCTTATTAGGAATATATCGAACCCAGATCTTGCTTGCAGTAAGGCTCAAGTACTGTTTCCCGTCGTCACAAAGCATGTGATGGCAAGGTTGACACCTAGAAGAACTACCTCGACTGTAGCAGGAGTTCGAACATGATTGGAGCAAGAAACTCAAATAATTTGATGTGTGAATCAGCTGAGGGCCGTGAAACCCTGCTGAAGCTTGATCCTAATCTCAATTTTAACATCTAGCTCACCTTCAAAAACTCCGAGCGGGGGTAGACCATTCGTGTTTGTGGGAAGCGTCCACGTGTCATTCTCCCAGACGAGCGTCGGCCGCAGATCCTCGAAGCTCACGGAGGTAGCTACGCCTTCACCCTCAGGAGGCTGCTTCGCTTCCACCTGCTCAGAAACGTTGGCATGATAGATCAATTTGTCCCCAGCTCCGCCTCAAACTTCTTTTGAGCCTGAATAGATTCACTTTCAGCCTCCTTTGAACTCTGACACTATGTACGTCCTGAATCGAGGCATTCAAATCTTTGAATGTCGCTTAAATCGGAGTTTTTCTGGCGATCCAACAATTTTAAGCGGGAGGAATTTTAGAGTCCCAATGCATTTCATCCTCTCAGAATGCGGGGAGTACTGCCTCCTTGAGAGGAGAATGTACGAAGTTGGCACGCAAAATCTGTGAGGGGCAACCATTGCAAGTTCTGGGATCTGCTTCGACCTTACGCTGTGCCAGCTTAAGTAAACAACCTGGTTCTGCCTGGGAAGTCAGCCATATTAATGTGAAACGTCTGAGTAAGAAATCAGCATTCCGCTCTTTCAGATTGTAGCATGCCGAAAACGTGCTGTGAATGCCCTGGCTTTTCACGGACAAGTACACAACCGCTTCTCTTTTGCTAACCTGCGCTTCCTGACCGTTCAAGGCGGTGATGTGCACCTCCCACCAGCAAATATTAACGAATGCGTCCACGGCGTCGCCGACAGCGTACCTGAGCGGAAGCGGAACGGAACGGCTCAATGCCGGAAGAAACTTGTATTGACCTCTGCCTGTCAGCCTACCACGGTAACGCGAATGTCGAATCTCAGAAACTGAGAAGACTCTCCATGCTGCGTAATGCTGATTGTTCACAGGTATGAAACATTCAGTCCCTTCTGAAGCTTAGCTCGTGTTTCTGCTTGAGAACATTCGTTCAGATCGTTTTCGCAGACACGGCTGTTCGGGTTAGGACCTGCCGTGCTAGTGGTTCGTCTAACACTGCAGAATGAGTTGAAAAGCAAACCCTTGACGTTTCTGATTTTGCGGCTCAACGACCCTTAAAAGCGAAGGCTACAAACTGACGAAGTGTGAGCTTGTGCTTGCTTTGTTCATGCAGATTTCTGTCAGCTTCACCTCGACACTGCCCTTTCACATCTGAACGGAACGCTCAGATTGATGATGCCAATTGGCTGTTTGCAGGGCGTTCAGCTTTCTCACTTTCTCGTCCGACGGAAGAACAGCTTGTCCCCATCATGCTCGGGCCCTGCCAGCGGATTGGTCGACCAGTAGACGGGTGGCGGCTCCGGCCGTGAAGTCAGCACCCGGACCGTATTGCTCGAGGGTGACGTCGGGCGAGCCTCGTACAGAGGAACAACGTGCGGCTGCTCTTCGCATTCAACTGGAGAAGGGCCACGCAAAGAAGTTCAATGCCGAACTCCTACAAAGGGCTCGAAACTTGCTGCAAATATCTAAGTGCCCCGGCAACGACTCTAAATATGAAGGAGGGCTCAATATCAGTGCTTTAGGATGAGGTCTTTCATCTGCTTTCATCTAGACACTTTTTGATGGGAATCTGTGTCTCATTCGTTTAGTGAGGCCCTCGATGGGCAGAAGTGCAGAGCATTTTGCCCCATTCCTATAATGAGGCTGACTCTGACTGTACTAGCAAAGAAATGATCCTGATAACCCACCTTACGAATCTGCTCCAGGAATGCAAATAGATTCTGACAGACGAAAATATCAGGAGCAATCCAACTTCATCATGTACCGCCTTTTCGTTTCATCCAAAAGCCCCAAGCGCTTGTATTTATTGATTCTGATGTTGGAGCTCGTCATGATCCAACTTGTTTGCGAGTTGATGCTGATCTTTCATCGTGCATCGGCACGAATAGATAGAAGAATCTGCTTTGAGCGTTTTTGTGGATCTTCTCTAAATATGTATTCAAAAGCTTCTGGACAGAGGGAGAGATTGAAGCCTCACCATCATGGAAGTCAAGGCATCTCAGGTGCAGGTACTTGGTATCCTGGGCCTGCCCATGGGAAAATTCTATAATCTGTGCGAAAATGGTCAGTATCTGTGAGGACTCCTGCTTCAAGTCTCCCATGCGTTTCATCTCTGGGTCAGACAGGTTCAGAAGTTTATTCAGGCAAAACTTAGGACATGATCCCAGATTACAGTCTCTAAGATACATATGGGGCCTGGTGATGCAGATGGGGTTTGAAAAATGTCAATAATGGCTTGAAAGCCTTTCAAGCTAAAGGTCAACATGGTAGTCAGAGCCGGGAAAGGTACTTAGTCACCCTCTATCAATGAGTAGATGTGATCACCCTGCACTTTCGCCACACAGCAATTGTGCTCAAAGGTCCAAGATTGATCAGCTGACTTTATCGCTCCCTGAATTCAGCACTTATTCTCATGAAGGCAGACAATAGGTGCGCTGCAACTTCTTTGACCTTACCTTCGATCTGAACCAAGATCCTCGCAGTCCTTTCCTGAAACTCCTGTATTCAACGACCTCTCCTGCTTGAAACTGGCATGCCCCTCTCGCAGAGTCAGACATGGTGAGTACCCTCTTTTTTCCAAGGATGGAAACTTGTCAGCATAGCAAATAGATCCAGCCTTGATAGACGAAGCCTACTTTTGCTGCATGCCCCGACTCCTGGCAACCCCTGCCCTTCCCACGCAGTTCTTCACTTCTTTCACCTGATTTCAACGCGAAGCTTGCCACCAAGAAAGTTACATTCAACCTGTCAACACATAGCAGTCAGCTTGCTGTAATTCACAATACATAGTACCGCAAAAGCACGCGAGCATGAGAATCTGTCTTTCCAACCCTATTGCTTCCGATTGCCTCTGCTGCCTTCCAGGTCTCCTGCAAAGCGAAGCGCCTTTGTATCTTCCTTATCGATATCACTCTTCTTCAGGTGAAGCTTCGCTGGCTCGTTTAAGCAGTCGCGTTCGACGGCGAGCGATCGGCGACAGCGCGCTTCGAGTGGCGAACCTGGTACGCATCGAAAGGCAATCTTGTTCAATCGCGCTCTAAATCTGTTGACAATGGAGCACACTTTCGTCAAGTCTTACCCTAGCTGCAACACTTCGACAGAGAGAGCGGGAAGTCAAGGATTTTGGGAACCTCTGTTGGAACTGGTGACGTGGCGAAGTTTAATAGGGGTTTAGCTGCGGGTCGACCCCAAGACCATCGGTTAATCAAGCCTCGCCACATCATCACCAGTGCCCCGTCCCTCGCTGACAAGACTGAGTCTCCTTGATCGCTGTCTTGCACCAAAGGATTGCAGAGCACATCAAAGACCTGATCAACAATTGAGCTCAGTTCAATCCAGTGCGTGCACCTTCTGCCAGACTCTCATGCGCCCGCGCTGGTTACTGGAAATGTATTCCAAACTGCATAGACGTAGCAGCCTTTTACGAGTGACGTAGGGCGCCTCGTTCGCAAAATACAGCCTCGCAGCCGACGTCCTACGCTCCTGTCAGGCTTGGCTCACGTCAGCATGGCCGCCAACCAGCCCGCGGAAACGGACTTGGCGCGTGAGGCCCCTTTCGCGCGCGCAGTGGAGCGTGTGTGCGCCGTAGACTTCCACCAAAGCCTTCCAGAGACGCGCGCGCTGACCATGGCTGGGGTGGACTTCTCCGCGTGGCACCACGTGTACGCGCGCGCGCGGGAGCAGCGCAGCCGGGGGAAGGCGTTCCTGGCGGTCGCTGACAGGCAGTGGGAGCTCCATTGGAGCGTGACTCCGCGCAAGGAGGGGATCTTCGCGTACGTGCCGCAAAAGAAGCATTTGGGCATCTGCGAGGACTTTGAGTATGACGTCAGCGAGGGCGACAGCCACTTCTGCGTGACGTTTGGTTGGGCCAGGAAAACTCTCGGGTGAGTTGATCTGAATTTATTGAGGAAAAGAGGCCGCGAGAGCAGGGAATGACTGGACTTGCGATGGCTGCTGTACAAGGTCGTTCAGAACAGGGTTAGTGAATGTCTCTCTTTTCATTGGACATAGGGCTCAATTGAAGACTCTACAACCGCTCGGTTATCCGACAAAGCAAGTGAATATTCATAGACCTTTGGGTGCCAGATTGAAACAGCTAGCTAACAATCAGGCTACTTTTTTGAGACTGCACCATTGACAACTGGATCTCGAAAGCATTCCAGTTCCTTGTCATTGTCCGTCGCTTGCCTTCTCAGCTTTCTCGAAGAGAGACTCCTTTGAAGCAGATAGCATCAAGGGTTTCGCAAGCCTTTCCTGAGCGCAGCGAGCCAAAAACAATCTTGCTCGCTTAGTCAAAAAAGAGTCCTTCGCCGCTTGATCAAACAAGAGTCGAGGCCGGTGTGTGCTCTGCGAGTTCGTCATTTATCTGGCTTGGAGCAGATCAGAAAGAGGTGTTGACGGGAAAGTGGCTGAAACCCACCAAACTCTACGGGTCAAAGCACTTCCATCATTTACCATCAGACCTTCACCACTCTTTCCACCATTACGAGTGCAAGAATAGAACCCAAGGACCCTCTCCGGTAATGAACTGACGGTCCCCTTCATGTACTGCCCATTGCGTTGATTCGAACCTTGACGGCCCCGAGCTGCACTTCATCCTCTGGGCTGTCAGACCGTCCGTTCTTCTTGAGAGCAGCTTTCAACCATCCGGTGATGGATTTATTAAATTGTCAGGTTTTGAAAATCTCGTAACTTAGGAGCCCCTGAGCTTAACATTTCGATACAAGTTGTCGTCTGGGATCTTTGAGAGAATCTGATCCCAATCATTCCAGGTCCAAGGGTATGAGGTCGTGTACCGACCTCGCAAAGCTGCTCACGCTCATGGAGGTGAAGCTCCAGTCCGACCTGGCGCGCGCGCGGTCCGCGAGTAGCCGCGAAGCGGGGGCGGGCGGTGACGCACGCGGCCTGGCGGATCGCAAAGTGAGCAGAGCAGAAAATTCTCTTGTAAGTGAGGCATGGAAACCTCCAGGTAGAAAAAAGACGTCCGGGTGCAAAACGAAACTGGAGACCTACACCAAAAAGGCCTTTCGCTCGTGATGTGGACATCAGCCGTTGGATGCTCCTTCTTGTGGTTCATTTGGGCGGTCCAATTACCTCTCCTTCGACATGCTGACGTAAGCAGCACTCGCTGGCTGACGTTGTCCCGGCAGAGGGCTGCAGGCCCTTCAGGATCTGGTGGACACCGGCGGGTACGGACCGCCAGACGGCTGGCAGGCGATCCTCCGAGCGCAAGCGACGGCGAACAAGCGGATCGCGTCGAGGAAGAGGGTAAGCTTTGAAAGTAGAGTCCCGCGCGCTTGTTGAAGGCATAGGGTTACGTTCCCGCTCGCATCCGCTGATCCCTAGGTTGTCCTGATTCTTCATAGTGCAAAAATCAGTTATCATCTCCGAATGGCAGTATGTTACCGGGTTTTCTTAGCTGTCAAGCTTGACGGGAAAGCCCGCAATCGCGGAGCGTTATAGCCCACACAAAGCGCCCGAGTCTGTTTCACGCTACAAACCCCTCGTATGCAAGCGGAAATGGACATTGACGCACAGGGACGCTCAACAGCCAGCTAACAACTCCCTGGAATCTAGAGCTCAACTTCCTGCTCTATCGGCGCTCTTGCAGATTGAGAATGAACCGAAGACGAACTCCACCGGGCAGACCAGAGAGCACTCCTCGGAGCACGCATCCGCAAACGACGCGCGCGAGCGTGCAAGCAAGGGAGGGAACCGCGCGGAAAGCGAGCTGGCGCCTGCTGACCCGAAGCGCCAAAAGCGCCCGAAAAGGCGGGCCGAAGCGGACGCGGCGTTTGGCCGTGCGGCACCGTCCCCGGACGCTGCAACGGGGGCATCGGATAGCAGCCGCACACGGCAGTCCATCCGGACGGCTGGGGGACCGGATGCCGCAGGGCGCGCCGGCCCGGGTTTTTCGGACGCCGGGCTCGACGTTGGAGCCGAGGCTCTGAAGACGGTCTTCTTCAGCTTCGCGGAGAAGTCTGCCGAAAGGATGAGAGTGAAAAAGGTTTGAAGTCGACGGTCACGTGCAGGGCGAGGGAGTTAGGCAAACGCCCGAGCACAATGGAATGAGTGGCGGTGGCTTGCGCGAGGAGAGTCTCACTTCGCGTGCAAAGGGACAATTTGCATGATCGGAGCCGTGGAACAAAGCAGTGGTGCAACCTGGCCAGACAAAAAGTGTGAACGCATCTGCATCAGCTAGTCTTTTCAAGAACAACAATGCATGACAATGAAGACCTCATTTGTATCATTGCTAGGACCATTAGAATTTGCTATTAATTTTACATGCAACCCGGCCCACGATTTTAAAAGGGGGCTCTTAGAATGCACATGGCGGCCGCGCCCTCAAGGCCGAGTCTTGACAAGCTACAACTTTGATCAATTAAGGAATGTTACATAGACTTTGTGCTGCGTGCACATGCCAGCGCAAGCTCGCACTGTGTGTTGGTGCGCGTCGGAGTTCCGACGGCAAGCCTGTGTCCGTGAACGGGGACGGTGCACCCATTGCATGCATGCAATGGGTGCAGAGTTCAATTCAGAGGGGCATGCAAAATCGGATGTACGTACGTGATACAAGCCGTCTAGCTAGCACATCTAATACGCTTAAGCCCCGAATAATCCGAAAAGCAGTAGGAAGGGATCATCATGATGAGATCCGCGATAAGGTCCCCTTGAGAAGGACCCGACGGTCTAGCTTGCCACAATGCTCGAGCAAAGCTAGGCGGCGTCGACCGTCGCAGCATCTGGCATACCGTTGCCGGCGAATACAAGGCCGCCCCAAGGCCACCTTCTCGGCTGCTATGAATCTAGATGCCGCAAATTTGCGTCACTGAGCAATTGGCTCTAGGCTCATAGGCGTATTTCGGCATTCAGCTTTACCTGGCAGCTTATTTCTAATAATGAGTTTAGATGCCGACAACCGGCCACATCAAAACTGCTTATGAAATCAACTAGCGAGCAGCCTTCGTCGCAAAGCTTGCCAGCTGTCTTATTAGCTGCTATTGGGAGCCAAGAACGAACACCGTAACTTGGGCGCGTCTTTTCATTCGTCTTTGCATTTTGCATTCTACTACTCTAGCGACAACTGTATGGTGACTGCGCTAAAAGCAGAGCTGCTTCTGGAGGGGATCCTTCTTCACCTTCTACTAATCGACCGCTTAGACAAGGCGCAGACACAAGACCGCAGGCCTGAAACCCTAACACCATACCTTTCGCGCTTAAGGCAGCTTTCAGAACGGGACGATCGTGTAGGAGTGGTCAAAATCGACTTCAACTTTGACCGCTGGGTACTTTTGCGCGATGGTTATGAGCGACGTCGTGAAACTTGACACCGCATCTTCCCACGAGTCTTCTGGAGCTCGCGGCCCCAGATTGAGTGTCTCGAGCGAAGGGCACCGCTCCAAAACGGCGCTGAGCAGTGACACCACGCAATCCACGCGCAAGGTGTCGATACTCAGCTGCAAACAGATAACCAATCTGCTGTAAGCGAGAGCCAAACAAGGCTTCTCAGGGAGGTTGCGGTCGGAAGATGCTAACGTAAGCCGAAACAAAAGCCCCTTTGCAAGAAGAAAGCATCGCACAATTTGCGAATCACTCAGAAACAGTTCGCGGTTGCGAGGACCCCGCAGCCAAAAGGCGATCTGTAGGCGAAGCCAAAACATTCTTCCTTCTTTGCTTCGGACTGCACGGCTTTAGGGCATCGACAATCACCCCACGGTCGTTCGCAGAGTCAAGAAGAAAGGACACTTTCTACTACGACCTCCAAAGCGATCCCACTTCCTCATGGGACGAGGCTCTGCAGTTCAGCAGCGGCTACAGTCACCACACCTCTTCCAACCCCAGCCCGTCGTACTTGCTCCCCAAGCATACAATAAGGACCACTGATCACTATTACACAAACAGCACGAAAATGACTTGCCTGGGACAGGTCGTGCCAGCGCGAGCGCCCCCGCCGGAAGTCCCCCTGCGCGAGGCGCTCCCACAATTCGGGCCCAATGCCCAGGGTTCGCAGCCCGGGGCACAGTAACGCAAAGTCTTCTAAGTCTACCGGGGGGGGGTTGTCGTCGTCCTGGATGCACACCCCCAGCTCGCGCAGGCACCCCATCCCCCCCACGAACTCCGCCAGGTGCGTCCATGAGTCGCCCTGAAACGAGAACGGCGGGGGAAGTTTAGGATGATCAGTGAGGCCCTGAGATACAGAAAGGGGGAGCTGCGAACGTGTGTTGCTTCGACGAATTAAGGACAGGAGGGGAATGGAAATCAGTACTCTCGTGCTGTCGCTCTAAAGCGAAGTCCATTGGGTCGCCCTAACTTGGAGAGAAGGGTAAGTTTGAATGGTGACTCTGAGGTAGTGTGGGTCCAAGTGTCGCCATAAAAAGGAAGAAAAGGGAAGGGTGGGGGTTGGAAAAGTTGCATATGGTTGCCAGAAAGGACGCACGACTTTTGCTTGGGGCAGCTTGGAGTGGTTAACGGGTTTGAAGAACACGATAGTGAGAGGTATCGGAAAGATAAGGCTGAGAGACTGGTTTGGGGTGAGGTAGAAACCGGGAATAAGAGATAGCCTTTCAAAACTCGACATCGCAGCCTTCTTCAAAACTCGCGGGTACTCACTTAAGCGCTGTCAATGAACAGGTGCCCATCCGTATTAACGAGGTCATAGACAAGCGGAATAGAAAGTTTCCCGTTTAGCAATAACAGACGTTTGGGTTCCTCGCTCGATCCGAACCGGAGACACCCCACTCAAACACGAGCTTGAAACTGACCTTGTATAGCAGATGGGCGTGCTGAATGCTCGCGGCGTGCCGGATGTCGATCGTCGGCTTGCAGTCCTCCGTGAAGATCTCCACCTTCTTGAGCTTACTCCCGTCCTCCACAGTCAAGGATGCAATGCCGCCCACGTCACGGAGAAGCAACCTGCGATGTAGCACCCAACTTGCTTACAGGACTTTCGACAAAACCATAACGATTGATCTGGGCACTTTAAGCCCGCCTTTTGCAGGCCTACAGAAGTCCACCTCGTCTCTTCAGCCGGAATAGTCAGGCCGTCTGCTGCAGGCGCCCCCATTCCGTTGCCACGAACTCCCTTGAGACCGGGACCGAGCAAGGCAACCCGTTCTCGAACACGAGACTAGTTCCATCAAGCGCCCCCCTCACCAATTCAATCAGAGACAGTCAAGCCATGTGCTGCCAACGACAGCCCGTTGTCCAACCAAAACCTTCTCGAGGCTGGAGCAATACAAGTCAGCCGCTGCAAATTGGATGAATCAGCTTGGTCCCTGCCTGGGCAGCTTACGGACGTCCGCACTACCTCGAGCCAGGGGCAGTCGAGCCATATGCCGAGAAAGGCGGGGACCGTTCGTTCCACCATAAACTTCTTGATGCTGGAGCCATGCAAGTTGGCGGTTGCGTGAACTCAAAAACAGACCGATGTCCGCCTGCAACACTTTAGACGTCCGCCTCACCTCTTGAGCCGGGGACAGTCGAGCCGTGTGCTGCCATCGGTCACTATTTCATCCTCCACAGGTCCCTTTGGGCTGGGGCAATGCAAAGCAGCGGATGCCTTACAAGACAAAATGAATCGGATGAAAATCTCCAAGCGCTCAACGCACCTTTTGAGCCGGGGACAGTCGAGCCGTATGCTGCCAACGGCCGCCGTCTCTTCCACCACAAACTCCTTGAGGCTGGGGCAATGCAGGTCCACAGACTCGCAGTCGCGCAGGTCGATCAGGCGCAGCAGCTCGAGTGCAGAGCAGCCGGCGATGAACGCCGTCAGGGTCGCCGATGCGATGCGCACGTCGTACAAGCGGAGGCTGTGCAGGTTAGGGAGCAAGGCCGGGGGGATGCTGGGCGGGATGATGACATAGTCGAGCTGTGGGGAGGTGGGGAGAGTCAATCCGATCAGCACCGATTAGGTATGCTGGCTTTTTTGATGAGTTCTTCGGCATGAAGAAGGCGGGAAAGGCATTGGGCAAAGGTACTGGGTGATGAGGCTCTGAGATTGCGCCAAGGCTTTCCCATGATTACAGCAATGTGCAGAAAGACTAGGGTTCGAACATGGAATAGCAAGGGGAAGAATGCATCCGGGTAGCAGGATATCCATTCCAGTTTTGCTGCCCCGAAATCCTCCAATTGCCTAAAGCACTTGACCTTTTTGGACCTTCCTTTGGACCTTAAGATTTATCTGCCCATCTCTCAACAGCCCCACTTCGAAAGAACTTGGAAACAACAAAGTCTCGAGACCCTCACCCCCAGCTTTTCAACCATGCTGTTGCGCAGCTGCTCGTAAAGGGCACGGAACAGCGTTGGATGGTGGCGGTGAATCTTGTTGTTGCCCTCCCGACTGTTTGAAATCAGCAGCTCGCGCAGTGTGGCGCGTGTGTGGATGATCCAGGCAATCACGGTCGAGTCTGAGAGCCACTTGTCGGGGTCGTCGTGCATGACTGACAGCGAACGCAGTCGCGTCGTTGACATTATCGTCTTTGTGATCATTGCCTCCGCATCCTAAGAGTATGAAGAGAAGCTCGAGGGGGTCTGAACACGTTCAAAATCTCTTGTCATAGGTGACCTATTCACAAGTGAGTCCAAGGCATGTTGATGTGTACTCATCAAGTTAGCAATGCTTGTGCGCCTTCACTGTCCTTTCGCGACCACCACAAACGTTTTTGAGCAATAGTTGGTCACTCAAACCCCTTTCCTTGTGAACTTTGCCGTAGATCTGGCGACCTGAGCGAGGGGATACTGAGGGGTCAGAGAAGGAAGGCGCAGATACCGAATGCAGGCGGACCAGAAAATGCAGTGGTGAAACCTTCCCAAGTAAACAAGAGCTCTCTGATCCATCTCCAGGTTGCCCCAAACTTGAGGAGCCCGACTCCCCAAGTTTTTCTTGGTGCAACCTCAAGTGACTCCGTGGGCTCATCCTTAGTCTCAAGGCTGAATTTTCCTCCGTTTGTCCTGTCCCTGTCCTTTGGACCGCCGCTGCCATACCGCTTATAGTATCACCTTGGCCTGAATGGTTTGCAGTGGGGAAACACTGGTAACTTCTGAGGGACTTAAGCTTAATTCAACAGAAGTAGGATCCAATATGCGCTCCGCAAACCCACCCACACCACCGAGCTAACCCACCCGTCCCCCGGGCTCCTCACTCAGCTCTTAAGTCATCCAGAAATGACCAGAGTTTGAGGGAACAGCAATGCGCACCTGTCCGGAGAGCCTGTCCCTGTACTGGTAGCCATCGAAGAAAAGGCAGTCCACATGCTTGGCCGCCTGGTGCCACTCCCGGCTGACCGCCATACACCGGATGAAGGACTCGGCATCCTGAGGAGGATCAGAAAAACAGTTGCACTTTTGCGCATCTCATCCTTACACTGAAGTACGATGCTCAGGCATTAGAGATAGTGGAGGCATAGCGCTTGAAAATGAGTGTCAAAGAAGGATTGATTGCATTGCAAGCAGATCGCTGAGCCCCAATGCACTCCCAATTGCATTCAAGACTTCAATAGGTGAAGGGTAAAATATACAAACTTTGAGCCTGGTCTCGCAAGCTTAATTGAAAGCGTCTATAGAATTGGGGTGGTCAGCTTTTTACAGATTACACCTGGCCAACCGCAACCCCCCAAGACGCCTGTGTATGGTGCCATGAAGCCCCCATTTTGATCCAGGCAGTTCAGGCGATGGAAGCATCTGGTTGCACTTAAGGTTGCGGTTCTCATTGGCCAGGCATTGTAATGGGCTATGCATCATCACAAAACCGCCCATGAAAGTGGTGCTCTGCCGAAAGGATCTAATGTGCTTGTTTCCTGGGAAGATGGATACCCAACTTATGAGTAATCATAATGGGAGAAACAGCTATCGGGGGCAGCAAAGCTTAATCTTCTGAATTCACACGCGTGGCTGCCTTTGTTCCTTTAACAATTTACCAGAGAAGATCAGTGAAAAGTGCTAACAAAGGCTCCAAACGTGCCCCATCGCTAAGAACTCACTCGTAAGAGCGACAACACCCGCGCCAGTACCTCCACCGGCAACTGCTGAGATCTCCTGCTTCTGCTTGGGGCATCCGAGCTGCTCATCTCTGCTGCAAGAAAGGAGGAGTGCCCAGCGCTTTCTCCTCTGCCTGATCAATCAATTCCCTGCCACCTTCTACAAATTGCCAGCTCCTGCGTGTGGAGGTCAGTTCTATTCAGAATTCTGTCCCACTCGGTATGCGACGTGACAGAAAATTCGTCAATTTGATTGCAGGCCGCGTGTCAAAAAAGCCACGTGTCGACCACAGACCGGGGTCCGAGTCGCTCGAAATAAACTTTGATGCAACGTCATTTATGCGTCACATTTTTACTTTCAAAGATCGACGACCAAGGTGAAATGGGAAATTGGCATCGAACGGTCATCTGGGCCCGCTCAATATCCACAACTGGTCACTTATATGCGCTCATATCAGCTCTTATAACTCTTTAGTTCCTCTTTTATCTCGTCTTCCCCCCGTCTTGTGTAGTGAACTAGAAAAGCCACCGGATCACCGAG